CTCTAACATGTACATAACACTTCCAGGAATAACGAAGCGGTGAGGTCGCTTCAGCTGACGACGCGATCGATAATACGTCGGTCAACTCGAAGTAGCACTGTGCGATATAACCTACCTACCGCGATGGACTAACATCAACGCTAGCAACAATAAACTGTTCGTAGGTGGTGCTCGCAAACCAGATAAGTGCCGCTACTACAGCGTGTGTTCTCTAAGCGACGAGGTCTTCAAACCCCTAGGAGCCAACTCAAGATGAACGACTCAAACGGCACAGTGGTGTTAATCAACAACGGAAGAAACTCCTTGAGACTTGGCCGACCATTGGCGAGGACACTCGGTATGCAGCCTGATGAGATAAAACCAACGACTACCACCACAGGCACTAAGTTACCCGACCTAGTACCGTATCGAGAGCTGTGCATTCATCTCAGCCAGGTTAGCACAACTGACAACATTCAAGGGGGTCACCCTTCCACTATACTGAGAGCCGTACCGGTGAAAACGGAGAAATACAACGACGGTAGAACTGAGTCGTTTTCACCTCGGCAGTATAAGAGGTTAACCCAGGGCAACATCCCTGAGCTGATAATATCTGTGTTAGATATAAATCATAATCCCGTGAATATAGGATACCTTAGCATAACGCTGCACATAAAATGACCAACGCACAAGGCCCCGGAATGAAGTTGAAAAAATGCATCAATGTGGGGATCTCCGACCTCGGAGACACACGCGGATTCGACGACCCCGGAGTAGATGGTAAATTGTACGCCTTGCAACTGAAAAACAGCATTTACAAACGCGTTGAGCGGCAGTCAACACTAAGTACACCCTTGTCAACACCGGCGATAACTGGATAATATACCCATCGTTCGGAGGCAAACTGTTCGACTTAACCGATGTTGAGAGCAACGTGACGGCTATCACCAAAAATAAGCCATATACACTCGTCTTCACCGATGATGACAAGTGGGTGTTGTTACCCGATAAAGCCGACTGGTTTCTCAATATTAAGCTCGGCTCCCCATACGTGTTCACGGATAACAAAGACAACCACCTAAACAAAGTCGTGAACAACGGAACCCTGCTCGTGGCTTACGTCCCGACTCAGAGACGTAGCGTAGTCATCAGCCCACTCGCCAGTATGGCAGCCCACATGCTATCGGGTAAACCCGGGATGCAAAACGTGGTATTGCAGTTGGTGTCTGAATTCGAAGGCGTGGTCAAGATCCTAGAGAGTCTACCGGCGAACTCAACACTTATCATCCAAGTCTACCTAGGGGAACCATCGCGGGATGATGTCGAAATCGTAAAGGGGGTCAAACTCCGGTGGGGGAAACAACAACAGTATTACGTTTGCAACGTTTACGTGTGCGGGTGGGTGTCGACTCCAAAACCAGTCTGCAGGGTGTCACCGTGATCGTGGAAGACACGATATCACTAACCAAGATCTTCCTACCCGACAACATACACTTCATGGGGGTGAAGTGCACCCCCTGAACTATTATCAGAAAACCAGTTGGAAATTATATCGTAATAGTATTATAGCAATGTCTTGGCTTCACCCCAACGCTACGTTTAACGATCTAGGGGACACGGAGGGATTCGATCAGCCTGGTGAGGAAGGCACCTTATACATCCTGCACTTGAAAGACAACGTGTATAGGCGGGTGTCGTTATCAGATTTTAAAGAGCCTGAATGGTTAGTCAACTTAACCCTCACCGCACCTTATATCTCCCTGAAACAAAATAATACTATCTCCGAGATTAGGAACAACGGCATGATTATAGGATCGTTCGTTCCGGAATCTAGTGTACAAGTCGTACCAATACCAGACCACTCGGGCAACATGTTAACTTCCAGGGAGAAGGTGAAGACAGAGATCAAATTACTCGATTACCAAGAGGTTTTTTAGAAATGTCGCGGAAAACTTCACATTCATCATAGACGTCTATCTCGGAGATACCTCGTATCCTGGGCATCGTAACATTATAGATGATATGTTGATATGGTGGAAAGACAGGGCTAGTAACCAACGTTGCCGTATTATTAAGGTATCGGGAAATGACCCTGTACCAAGTCTTGAGGGGGTTCGTCTCTTTAATGGGCGGCGAGCTAAGACCCCGCTTTTTTACACGCACGCTGATCTAAGTATTATCGGCTTTAAGTACATTAATCGGGTTAAATGAAACCCAATTAAAATATATTATGGGGTTGAACTATATCCCTGAACTAGTACCAGAACACTAGATAGGCTATTAACTGAAACCCAATTAAAATATCTTTTGTAATATATATTATAGGCACACAGGATGGGGCTGTACCCAGTCGTAGAGGAAGTAGCGAAGACCCTGAAACCGTGAGATCGGTTCCGCTTTGAGGCAGTTATGCGATGTAAAACGCCAACTAGAACAAGACCGCGACAAGCGGAAAGCACTATATAAGAAGTACCATAGAGCTTTCAATGCCGTGGACGGACTGATACTACCCTTATGGTAGCCAGCATGGGCCTAGGGGTGGTAGGTGTTGGGTTGTTAGCTACCATCGTGGCCGCACCTATAGTGATGGGGCTCGAAATAACAGCTGGGGTGACAGGGTGTTGGGGTGGTGCTTAAGCTTGTGTCCCGCAGACTGCATCGTAAAAGCATTGAAGCATAATGAGATCGGGGTTCTAGCTGAAGCAAAGCTTAACACCATAAGCGATCTTATTTCCACCGCGACTCACTGACAGTAAGATCTCAGAGGAGGAGTTTCGTTTAGTCCTCTGAACTCGCAAAATATCATAGAATGAAACAAGAGATTCGATCCAAGTCTCGTAAGTCTGCTATAAGCGAGGATGAGAAAAAAAAGTACATAGAACAAGGGGTGAAAAAAGCCCAGCAAGCCTTTATTACAAACACCAAAGAGATCATAGGCGATTCACATTAAACTGTTTCGTCGAGGTAAACATGGCATAGCGGCATGTTAGACGCAGCCCAGATAATACAATCCCAGGATACCAACATACTTTCAGTAATGTCCCCGGTGGCTCAGTCGGTTGAGTGGTGCGGCTAAGAGGTGCGTTCGTATCCCGCTAGCGTCCCAAACTTTTTTATAGTAGGGGTAATGGTAGCAAGAGCTAAGGGTCCGACCAAAGCCTTATTTGGGGAATAAGGCTTTGCAGAGGCTTTTGTTGGACCTGGTCCCGTACAATCATTCCCTCTACTACTCCAAGTAATCGCCTGTTGAACTTGAAACGATAAACCAGAATATTTTGGAGTTATTGTGTAACACTAATGTAGTTATTTGGATTTGCAGGATACATGTCGCACTTGCATATATTTTAAACTGTTAAATTGCTGGACATGAAGCAACAGAGACTCAAAACAGAGAGACTGAAAGCAATATAGCAGGAAACCATAGTAACCAATTTGAACAATTTTCATATTTACATCTTCATGTAAACTGGTCCACCAGCCAGGCAAGGAATCCCAACTCGTCGGTGAGAGTTGCGTCCCTTGGGCACGCCAGTAATCTGTTATCGTGAATTCGAATCCTTGTTCTCCCTGATTTGGCTTCAAGGTCTGTCTGCTCCATACCCGTGCTCATGGGTTACATGAAAGTCACAAGGACTACCGGACTTTCCGCCAACATTGAATATCTTGTTTGAGTGGCATTTTAGAAGTTGAGATGTACAATATAGAACAGTTTTTTTATGGATAACAACTTCTTTATTTCGTGAGTGCAACGTTTCGATACAGATTCTTGTCAAGACTCTTGCTTGACAACGGTACAAGAATCTGTATCGAAACGTCGCACTCACAAAATAAAGAAGCTGTTATCCATAAAAAACTGTTCTATATTATAACATTGAATACGTGAACATTTCCGCGAGAGAAGTCCTTATTTGTCAATATGCAATTTGACACTAATATCACTGTTATATCTTCCATGCCTGGATGCACCTGTATAAGTACCTTGCAAAATCGATTGTATCGTCACATAGCCTTGCTGTACTTGCATAAGTTCCCTTATAATGTATCGACCATGTTGTACATAAGGCTGATGGCCCACACCACTGTATCGAATAAAGAGATTTCATTTCACTTGACAACGTCATGACAGTGACCCGTCTCGAGGCAAAACAAAGAGATCTGTGCCTGATATCTTGTGGGCGTATTCCGATATTTCTGTTCAGATTTTAGAAGTTGTAAAGATGAAGGAAAACCAAGTTCTATGGATATAGTCAACTTCTTTATTGCAATGAATGTGACGTTTCACTGTAGGTACTAACACCGTTATCAAGCAAGTGATACAAAAAGTTGAAACAAGGAGAATATATATAGCTACATCGTGAGTATATACAATTAACAAGGCTGATGTACACTGGATATTATACCTGATATTTAGGCTTTCGCAAGTTTTGTCTCGCCAACGGGGGTTAAAGGAAATAAAGATGTTCCGATAATCAGAGTTTTTAACTTGGACTTACCATTTGATGACAATGAGTCTGACAGAAGACCTATCTTCTCAGCATATTCAAAAACCTCTAACCATGTCGACTAATATCGACAATGTCAGCCGAACAGTTTTCATAGTTCTTAAACACGAAGCAGTGGCGCAATCGGTCAGAAAGATTGATACCAATGAGATAAAAAATTCAGGCATAATAGGGTGCATGTACTGCAGTTAGCTTGAACCGAAGATGGGAATGAATGAATTAAATATGTGTTTACGCATTGAAGCTATGTGACAATATATGCTGAATGTTCGCTGCATTCAAAGGAAATAATTGGGTTCTTTTGAGATGTTAATGAAACGTGGACAAGTCGATTGAAGACACGTTCTCATAACTGCTATTTGAGAAAGCCAGTGGTGAGCTTGAAAGTAGACAAGGATGGACGTGTTTCGGGGCAACGCGCTTTTCTTCCCAAATATTTTGGTCTTTCTCATCTTTACGAGACATGTTTTCCCTTTGTGCAACCAACATTCATATGTCCGCATCAAGGAAGTTCAGGACATGGTTGCTGTAGTCGAGCCTCTCTGGAATGTCAAAGTGGATGCATCGAAATGTGCACAGAAGTGTTACAGAGAATCCACGTGTGTCTCTTTCTTCCACAACGCTTTGACTGGTGCCTGTCAAGGACACTCAAGGATCTTCAACAGCCACGAGAACCTGGTTCCCAAACCTGGCTTCAAGTACTCGCTGGATGGTCTTTACGCTAACAATGCTAGTAAGTTGCTTTCGTACAATGTTAAGCCGAAGGTGTTCTTGGGGAAATGTATTGGACACAGCATGTTTGGGGGATTAAAATAGAGCGGGCACGGTCGGGTGTAGTAAATGAGTAAACGTAGTAATGGAAAGATTGTAATGTAGACTGAACTGGTAGCCATTCATGTCTGGATTTCGTAGAAGACCGCAGAAACAGATCGTCACCTACATGCATTGAATCCGGAAACCAAAGTCTTCACTCACTCACATGCATGTGTATTTGTTATCAGAACTTTCCCATGTAACTTTATACTCAAGTGTCACTAATGTGTACAGAAATATATATACACATTACAATGTATAGCATATATATATGTGTTTGCAAATTGTGCGAATAGGCAAATGCATTCCTTGCATTGAACTTCTAAACACTAAACTTCATCCACTTACATGCTTTAAATTCCAGACACAAGTTTGCACTTACATGCATTAAATCCGAAGACACAAGACTTTACTCACTTACATGCATTGGATCATGGACACAAATCACTTACATGCAAGAATCGTAGACACATGTCTTCACTCACTTACATGCATATGCGGGGCGGTGGGGTAGCCTAGTGGTTAAGGCGTTGGCTCGTCACGCCGAATACCCGGGTTCGATTCCCCACATGGGTACAATGTGTTAAGCCCATTTCTGGTGTCCCCCGCCGTGATATTACTGGAATATTGCTAAAAGCGGCGTAAAACCAAACTCACTCACTCACTCACTACATGCATATGCATTTGTTAATCAGACCTCTTCCAAGTGCATGTATACTGAAAGGTCACTTAAATGTGCAGAAACATAGTTACATATAACATCTATTTAGCATATATTTGTATTTGTAAAATGTGCAAATGAGCAAATGTGTCCCATGTTGTTTGTTTTGTAAATTTAGGCACACTCGACTTATTATATGTTTAAGAACCCCATGTTTTTAATGTGTTTTTTTCATATTTGTATCTAATGCTGTTTCTCTCAATGTTACACGCAATAATATAAGTGAAAGTGTTGAATGGCAGTGATCCATTTTGTGAGATTTAAAGCGTTCACAAGTTCACCTGAAAATTAACCTGTTTTTCTTGCATCAGTTTAGCACAAAACGTATGTACCTAGTACTTTCAATACCCAAACAATACACATATTGCAAGTCACTAATTATTTTGGCATTAAATCGAGTCATGATTAACACTTTTATCGAGAGTTATGTTTCCATAATAAACACACTGTGCAAGCAAAAAGATAAAGTCATTTATTACGCTCGCTTTCACGAATACAAGAACTCTTACATCGCTTTGACACATATTCTTGACGTATACTCTATATTGTTCCACAGCTTACACTGACTGTACAGATATCATGTTCTTGACGTATACTCTATATTGTTCCACAGCTTACACTGACTGTACAGATATCATGTTCTTGACGTATACTCTATATTGTTCCACAGCTTACACTGACTGTACAGATATCATGACTCGCTTTCCTTCTCTGAAGTCTGGCATCTACACCCTCCAGCCTGATGGACAAGACCAGTTCCAAGCCTACTGTGTTTCCAGCATAGGTACATGGACGGTAAGCACTTAACATTGGCCGTGTAAAAATGTGTATTCCTTTTTGAAAGGTTAACAGTTAGGTTTTAAGCTCACCTGACAGAAAGCCATAAAAGATCACGCGCAGCTAACATTGCGCCCAAAACCTAACCTACTTATGCTATGGTGGTTTAGAAGGGACATAGTTTTTTTGACGGCAATTACGGCCGCGAGAAAGCGAAAAAGCTCAAATCTCTGTCTCGCTGAAAAGTGATATCCCCTGTTGGCCACCACATGATTAGCATATGTTTAACAACGAATACAAGTATAAAAATAACGTAAGAGTTAGTAATGGCTAAACCATAATTAGTTATCAGTCACGGGATGACAATTTCATATACTCACCATATAAAGAAACGCACAGGTGAAAATATTTACAAATGCCGTCTTTATTTCAAATGGCATGTCTTACCCGAAGTGTGTCTGTCATGCACAAACCTGAGTTACAAAAATCGTCACAATAAACGATAATGGCAGCGTGAACGTCAGTGCCTGTTTTTGACTACCATTGACCTGTATGGAAGTTCTTCAACGCCTACCAGGGCGGTGGGATAGCCTAGTGGTTAAAGTGTTCGCTCGTCACGCCGATGACCCGAGTTGGAATCTCCACATGGGTTCAATATGTGAATCCTATTTCTGGTGTCTCCCGCCGTGATTAAATACGGCGTAAAACTCATTCATTCATTCATTCGATCGATCGATCATCCTGGTATTCATCCTTTTTCATCCTGCAATACCTGGCGAAGTTGCGGAGGCATATGTGGTGGTGGTTAACGTTGTCGACACCACGATCGGGGTCATCCTATTTATGTTCGGTTGCGTAGAAATCGATGGAACTTACGGTTGCCTCGAAATATAAGCTTGGTCCCTGGGTATTTATTTTGTAACAATTTGCGGATGTGTCGAACCTTGGATAACTCACAACTGCATGATGAACTTATCATGTTTTTGCAACAGGTGATCAAAAGACTTCAGGAGGACATAATTAAATTGTCATCTATTGCAACAGCTGATTTAACGACGTCATGACGACATAATGAACTTATCATTTTTTTGCAACAGGTGATCAAAAGACTTCAGGAAGACATAATGAAATTGTCATCTATTGCAACAGGTGATTCGACGACGTCATGACAACATAATGAAATTTCATTTATTGCAACAAGTGATCCAAAGACTTCATGGGGAGATAATGAAATTGTCATTTATTGCAATAAGTGATTCAACGTCATCACAATGGTATAATGATCCAACGACATCACATCGACATAATGAACTTATCATTTTTGACAACAGTTGATCCAAAGACGTCAGGACGGCTCCGAAAACTTCTTCAGAACCTGGAACGAATACAAGGAAGGGTTTGGCGACCTGAATGGCGAGTTCTGGCTTGGTGAGTTGTCCTTGGCAGCCTCAGTGATACGAAATGAGTACTCTCCATCGGGCTTCCGGTTGAGACTAGGTTCACATACAGATACTGATCGTTAATTGGTTGATTCCGTGTTGATTGGTCCAATGGCATGGGCAGTTGCTCACAATATCGCTGGATGGATTGTCAGGTTCAGATTAGCTCCAGGACACCATTATGAAGTGTGGCGATCGAGAACAGACAAAACGGTTATCGAGGGGACAGGCAAACTGATAACTATGAGGTGTGTAGGGTTTGCAGGGAAAGGTTTTGTGTATCTGGGACTTTCGTTTAAGTCGGTATGAGTGTGAATTGACGTACTCTTGTGTTCTCGTCAGGAACAGGAATCAAAACATTTGAATATATTATGCGTGTATGACCAGACAATATCATATTTTTTCCAACAATACTTTCAAATAGAGTTACTGAGAGAATCACATCGTGTCTCTCAAAAAATTGCGCGTCTCTCTTGCATCAATATTATATACCAATGGTACTTAGGGGGGCGTCCCGCCAAGCAGACATTTGAACCAAATAGACATGCAAAGGGGTGCGCCAGGCTGCCTTTCCGGTGTCCTTTGAAGTAATTAACGCCAACTAGCATTGTTTTGACAGTACTGGGGTCGTCTCAGCTCATGACGAGTTCACCACTTTAGTGAGTTCTAGCGCATGGTTTTATTAACGAGTTCACCACTTACTGAATTTACAGTTGTGAACAGTTTTCACACAGAGTATAAATAAACTAATGATACATTTACCAAACCATTCGCAATCATGGTGCGCGCACAGGTAGATCTTAAGTTCATTCCGTCAACCATGGAGGAAGAATATTAGTTCATCAAGTATACAGTCATGTTCAAGTGAAATAAGAAGAGACATGCCTGGCAGTCCTGCAAGACTGTCATCAGTAAACGACATCTTGACCAAACAAGGAGCAGGTCATAACCATAAAATGTTTGAAAAGTGCTAGTGATTGATTAATTGTATCAATAAATGAACGAATGTACGATCATCTTGCCAGCCGTGAATAACTTTTACATGTCCCCCAGATTTAACCCCCCACTGCCATTCTTTCGCTAATCCTTTTTAAATTGGCAATGTCTAAATGTTGCACCAGGCCGACGTGCTAGAAGGGGCTGAAATGAGCAAGTTAACTCGGTTGTCGGTCTGGCGGTACCTCCCCCTTACTCTTTGGGGACACGGTGGGGTAGCCCAGTGGTCAAAGCGTCCGCTCGTCACACCGAAGATCCGAGTTCAATTAACCACATTGGTACAATGTGGGAAGCCCATTTCTGGTGTCCCCCGCAGAGATATTGCTGGAATATTGCTAAAAGCGGCGTAAAGCTAAACTCACTCACTCACTCACTCTTAGTCTTTGGCAGATATGTATCCTAAAATGAGCCAAATATGAAGTTAAAGCTTGGTCAATTGGCATTCTTTGCTAATTCAGATATTTCGTTTGTGTCGAACCTTGTATAACTCGAAGTATTTTCGTGGGTCCCTTCAACTCGACACAACGACGTTTGATTGTATGTTCGATACAATTCCAGGCAATGAAAAGGTGTGGCGTGTGGTCAAGGGACGACAGTTCGAGTTAAAAATAAAGCTCTGGGACTTTCAAGATGATACGAGAATGGCTCACTACCAAAGCTTCTCCATAGGTAGTCTGGCTGAGAACTATAAACTGAAAATCTCTGGCTTCTCCGGCAACGCAGGTAAGTGTCTCGCCGCAAAGATGAAAATGTCTAAATTGGACAACATGATTTCCTTTTCATTTCCATTTTGTTTTAAGGGTGAAATAGGCTTAACACACTGTATTATCAAACAGGGGCCTTCGGCGTGACGAGCGAACGCTTTAATCACAAGGCCATCACAGCGACTGCGTGAACGTCTTAACTCGAGATTATGTTGGTCGATTAAGTGAGTTTGGTGTTACGCCGCTTTTAGCAATATTCCAACAATATCATGGCGGAGGATACAGAAATCGGCTTCACACCTTGTACCCGTGTGGGGAATCGAACCCGGACCTTCGGCGTGACCAACGAACATCGCTGTCATGTTCCTTGCAAGAGGGACCCGTGAAGGTCCGGGTTAGAATATTGATCTTCAGTAACCCATGCTTGTCGTAAGAGGCGACTAACGAGATCGGGTTGTCAGACTCTCTGAATTGGTTGACACATGTCATCGGTTCCCAGTTACGCAGATCGATGCTCATGATGTTGATCACTGGATTGTCTGGTCCAGACTCGATTATTTACAGACCGCGGCCATACAGCTGGAATATTGCTGAATGCAGCGTAAAACTAAACTCACTCACTCACTCCTTGCAAGAGGGGGATATTAAAAGTCAGCATTCAGTAAAATGTGGCGCCTTCAGCCATCAGTCATGATTTGGCTCAGTCAGAGAAAATAAACACTTGAAAAGAACATCATATGTCATCATGAATCTAAATTATCTTTCCTCACACAGAAAAGTCGTTTTCTGATTGCCTGAGCGCTCACCTATTATTTTCAATGTACCCCGCTTACAAGCGAGTACTAATTTCGTTGTTACCCGCGGGGAATGCCGAACTGTAGAAATTCATTTAGTACTTCGTACTAGTAAGTATTTATCTCGAGTAATTGAGTCATGTATGATGTACGGAAATTACCGATATTTTGAGAATGCAAATCTATGGAAGGGAGATAACTCTAACTTTGTTTTTCTTGTGTCGTTGTTGGTTTTGGCTAATTGCCTAACTCTGATACACCTCATTATGATCCGATACCAGTTCAAAAATAACATTGAGGTGTTCGGTGAGAAAAATATGGTTGGGGCCCATGAGTTGTTGTACCCTCTGTGTTTGTTTAAGTTTCCCACGGGCTCAGGGAACATAAAGATACAGAGGGTACATCAACCCATGTCCTCTTCGTGACCAGTGAACAACTTATAGTAGGCCTATAACAATTGCGTTGTTCGATGCGAATGCTATTGATCACTAGATGGCTTGGTCCAGACGCGATTATTTATATATTTATATGTTTAACTACGAACAAATATCGTATGATTGATAATAAGCGCTGTTGGTTGTTGTTTAACACCGCAATCAGCAATCAGAGTCTAGACCAGACAATCCAGTGATCAACATAATGGGCATCGATCTACGCAACTGGGATACGATGACATGTGTTAACCAAGTCAGCGACTCTGGCCACCCGATCCCGATAGCTGCCTCTTAGACAAGCATGGGTTGCTGAAGACCAATTCTAACCCGGATCTTCACGGGTTAAGCGTTGTTGAAGGAAAGTGTTCGAAGATTTGCCCAAACTGCATGTCCGATAGCGCTGTAGTCAACTGTTTCTTCTTTTTTTTACCAAACAGGCGACTCCATGGAGATAAGTAACGGACGCGCATTCTCCGCCAGAGATCGTGACCTTGATGAAAATGCAAGTAACTGTGCGCAAAGGTACAAAGGAGGTTGGTGGTACAACTCATGTCACCAAGCAAACCTGAATGGAGAATACAACAATACAAATTATGCTGAGGGCATCGTCTGGTACCACTGGCACGGCCATATGTACTCTTTGAAAAGAACGGAGATGAGAATACGACCCTGTTGTTGAGATATAATACCCATCAAAAGTTTAGACTCACTAGTGAAAATGTAGACACTTGCTTCAGTCAACGGTTCTAAACTAAATATTCCATCATGTTTAAAGGTGCTGTTTACACATGAACTGATGTATTGTAAATTAAATTCGTAACGTTGAAAAGATTATTGTCATGTGTTCAATAAAAGATGAAACTCAGTGAAAATTGGCGAATTCTTAACAAAACTTTACACCAAAATGCAGCTATCCACATGCGTTATATTTGCACATGCTTTTCAGCAATTTGATACATGATTCTCGTGCAATTCATCTGCATAAAGTTTGCAGTTGGTTTCCCAAAGTTAGTGGAGAAATTCATCTTCCATGTAACCATATATATATATAATAAAGTTTTGATTTGATTGATTGAGTCTAAACTTTTGATGGGTAGTATAAATGCACAGAAGAGACATTCGAGATCAGCCTGTGCTATCCTGGATTATTGAACCTTGTTGTTTCCGGAAATGTAATTTCAGAAGGACACCTGTTGTTTTGAGTCCTTTTCCGATTACATGTGCGTAACTACCATTATATAAAAAAGAGCGCCCCGGGCTTACACATGACTTTTGGTATGAAACTTGGCCATGCCCTCAATACTATCTAAATTTAAAGCTTTGCAACCTATTGGGCTAACACGAAAAAAAATGGCTTGCTACGCGCCTGGATTATTCCGTTCAACTGTCGTGTATTTAAAATCCATACACTATGCGTAACTGTGACACGTGATAGCTGTTTCTGTAGCAACCAGTAAAGGTGACATCAGATCGTATGTAATTAGTACTCACTTCTCGACAACGGTAATTGAAATGGACAACATGTACGCAAAATCTGCGCGTAAATTCTACGGAAGTCTTTCAGGACCATTTGCTAGATTTCAAGATTCGCGATCCTTTGTCCGAAACATCACCATTATAACGACATTCCAAACATGTACTCAATATAGACGTATACTGGGGTAGCTCAGTATCTTGAAATTACAACTTCGGATGTTGAAACTTCTAGAAGAAGCTAATTGATTTGACTGAAACATATTCGATTCAGTGAAGAAAGGGATTAGGAACAAGTTATCCAACTTAGTAACCATCTCCCGAGTATTTACAACATTATAGATATACAACATACATGTAATATAGAAAGAAATATAATACAGTAATGGTAGAGACCTATGGACAGAGATAGTTATTTACACATATGAAAATATTTACAGCATTCAAGAAAAACGCTTTCTATTTGATATGTAACGCTGAACTGCTTTTAATATTGCATGATTTTGAGTATATGATAAGTTCTTGCTTCCACTTAATAATAAATCTAAATTATACAGGAAACACTAAAACTTGAAGTGATAAACATTTTCACATGAATTGCCACATTAACATTTTGAATCTGATCTACTGCCAACATTAAATAAATCATAATTATGAAGAAGCCAATGACCTTGGCTACGTCCGAAATAGCCGCTGAGGAGGGCAAGATGATATCAAGAAGAGTATACTACCCATCAAAAGTTTAGACTCGCTTAAATCAATCACTATAAGTTATGTATGTACATATGGTTACAACGAAGATGAGTTTCTGCACTAACTTGGGGGAACATCTGCAAACCTTATGCAGATTAATTGCACGAGGACCATGCATCAATTGCTGTAAAGCATGTGCAAATATCGTGCATGTTAACAGCTGCGTTTTTGGTGTAAAGTTTGATTTAAAAAATCGCCATTTTTCACCGAGTTTCATCATTCATTGAACACATGACAATAAACTTTTCAACGTCAAGAATTTATTTTACAATACATCAGGTCATGTTTAAGCAGTACCTTTAAACTGTATGGATTATTTTACAAAATATAGTTCAGAACAGTTGACTGAAGTAAGTGGCTAGATTTACACTAGTGAGTCTACACTTTTGATCGGGAGTATTTATAGAAGAGTAGAAGAGATGCCAGGTTTGGAAGATTCAAATTCTACATATGACAATTATGTAACCAAGTTATTATTGCTATGCTATTTCTGCATAAGGATGTATTGAAAGGTACATGTAAGTCAAAGGTCCTGTTCTGTTGAGATAACTTAACATTTTTAAGGATAAATTGAAGTTGAATTTTTGGGTGAAACTCCCATACGTTAACATGATGATCCTACTGTGATCCGACTGCTGGGGTACGGGACGCTTTGTTTACAAACATAGCGTTGGATAGTTTACATTTAGCTCTTGATACATTTTACTGTCTGAGGTGAGGTTTCACTTTCCTAATTGTTTCATTGATTTTGATTAAACATATTATGAAGCCTTCCATTCTTTATATAAATGACATATTAAAATACATATGGAAATTTATTAATCATCACCCGTATTTTCTCAGACTAAGCAAATTTAATGAGCTGGTGCATAATATGTGTCAAAGATTTCCATACCGTATGAATTTTCTAGTGAAGAAAAGGGTTGATGAAAAACATAGCCAGGATTACCATGGCATAATATGGTTTGCTGGAAGTTGTACAGATTTTGGAAATGACGTTAGTTCATGTAAAAGCATTACGAATATCACTTTTATTGCACATACTTAACTGTCATTACCATGTACACATCTTGTTCACGAAATTGAAGAATAAAGTCTTGCAAGTCCAAATACTGACCTGAATTTCTATCAGTATATTGTGTGACCTCCCTGCACACGAACAACTGATTTAAGACGCCTCCTCATTCCTTGGATCAATCTCCGGATTTGATTCTGAGGAAACCTGTTCCATTCCTCATTCAAAGCAGCAGTCAATTCATTGAGGGGCTGGGCAGGTGGGTCTCTCTGTCGTAAACGAGTGCCTAAAATCTCCTAAAGATGCTCAATAGGATGGTCTCCCAGCAGGATTCTGTTGCAAGAATTTGAGGACAGCACGTGTTCTGTGGGGTCTGGCATTGTCACCCTTAAAGATTGGTCTTTTGGTAAGAGGATGGTTTTAGAATGTGGGACAATAGCTCTCTCAAGGATCTCCTGTTGATACCGAGGCCCATTAAGGTTACCGCGAATGGTAATAAGGTTCATCTTGCAATCCAAGGAAATGCATCACCATACCATGATTGGCCTTCCCAATATGGGTTTTGTGGCAAGAGGATGGTTATTAGAATGTGGGACAACAGCTCTCTGAAGGATCTCCTGTTGCTCCAATTAAGTTTGCCACGAATGGTAATAAGGTCTATCTTGCAACCCATAATTGACCCTCCCCCAGGAGCGGATATTGAGAAAAACCTTAGTTGTGTGCCTTTGTCTCAAGACATGTGTACCACCATCCATCATATGCATTAAGAAACGACTCATCGGAAAGGTGCAATGTTCCAGCTAACACTTTGGTTACACCAGGCAAGTTGTGCTGCTTTGTGAGCTGGAGTCTGTTTTATACACATAACGGATGTTCTGGCCCTGTATCATGCACTGTCCTGCGGGAACTTTCGAAGCAGAAACTATTTTCCATCATGATAGTTATTGCATATTGAATTGAGACCTTTTCAAACGTGTTTCATCTGGGAAGACCAAAATTGTGAATGCACGTGTCTATAACATTACAGGTGAAGATGTAGTCTTGTGACTGAATCATTTACTTTTGCTATTCAAGGCAAAGGCCCGGAATGGATTCTCAAACTGGGCTCTGTCTTCCCCTTGTGACCCAACCTTACTAACTCTTCCAATCATTTGTCTGCATTACTCCCACCAAATGGACTGACGGGGTGTCAGTGTGCACCAAACAAAGGGGTTACGATGAGCTTCGCATTACAACACACATGCCGAGCCTTCAACCAGAAATCTTCCTCGAAGAAAATGCCCCTGGTCCCTGAAGCCCCAGAAGTCCCAAACCATCTGACGGAACATCCTCCATCGATCTCATGTATGAAGAATCAATGGATGACACCAACGTCATGGATGACCCAAAATTTTGAAAAAACCCAGAAACAACCCCGCAATCATAACCCCACAATCATAAGGCTGCGTCGAATAGCAATACGAATTAAAGTGGAATACTTATGGAAATCGTATAAAAAGTTACAAAAGGCTAATATGAATGTAAATTATACACATTTTAAAAATAGGCCAATCATTTTCAGAGGCTTATAGAGTGCTTTTATTATTCTCAACATGAGAATGTTTCGAACAAGCTTATTGGTTAGAGGCGCAAACGCCCCAAACGTCTTAATCAGGCTGAACTTGTCACTTAGGTGAAATTTCTCTTTATACTCACACTTGGATTATTCAAAATGAACTTTCAGCCAGTGATACTTAGTCTCTTTGCAGTTTGGCAATTCCAAATGACCAATGAACATTAGAAATCAGAAACCACGTGACCATGTGTTTTATAGAAAACTCGATTTCCGAATTAAAGCGGGACAATTATTTCAATTGTCCCTCTTTAATGCAGAAATCGAGTTTTCTATCAATCTCTAATTTAAACACATACTGTGTTTTTACTGATCAAACACGTTAATAAACTGATACACTTTCAAGTTTAAGCAAGTTTTCTGCTTAAAGTAAAGTTCAATACTTCGCATTGTGACGCTAGAGTCTGCTGCTTTGATCAAATATATCATCATATCGATAAAAACGTATACGAGCCTGGTAGATGCTGATTCCAGACTTGACAATATTAAAACATATCATGTCAACATCAGTTTCATCATCCCAGGATTCAACAGCCAACACATCAGCCACCTCACTCTCACCCATATGGAGGAAGGAAGCCGATTTGAGGAGGAGTGACTCGGTGTTTAATTCGCACTGTATCTTGTTCCTGAACAAATGATCACCCAGAGCGTCAAGACAGTACTGTAGGTACAAAACCGCGTTCGTGTGTTCGGTCGGGTCTATATCCCGACTTTTAACTGTTACCATGTAAGGATTAGAGTTAACTCCCCTGCACATCTTGATAGGAGTTGTCTCCACCTGCCTGAAGGTAACCCCAGGATCCTTGTTGTACAGTTGGCCGAACTTTTCCCGAAACCAATCTGGCACCGGGCATGGTCTTCTGGTCGACTTTGACACAACAACGCTATTAGTTTTTAGACTAGCTGTCACGTGAGGGGCACCAGGTACCTTCAGAATTGATTCCCAGACAAACGACGATGTTCGGAAAGATGCAAATCTTGTCTGAATCTCAGCTGGATACTTTGGGAGTCTGGGGTTGTACATGCTGGGTGAAATACTCAGTTCTCCGCTGACAATGAAAATTAAGTTGCCAGTACTTAATTTCTGGATGTCCATGAACGAAGGATGATTGTCCGTTTCAAAAAACACAAACTGTCGGCCACGAAATAGGAGGCGGAACACTCCAATAGGGCTGACTAGGCCTGCAACATTAAGCAAATTCATTGGACACAGAACAGTTTGGTTGTAACTTACCATTTGTTTGTCAAATTGAATATAGATATTTCTGTCTACTTTGTCATCCGATAAGTTCTTCAGAAAATGCTGAGACACGTTAAAAGGTTTCCTGACCCGATCGTATTACACAAGTAATCGTGGCTTACACAAGTTATGTCCCCTACCTGGTCGATAAACAAGATCTATATTATATTATAGATCTTTAGATCGCGAGGTGCATCATATCACTACAGCTTCTTGAAAAGATTTAGAACAAATCCGTCGACGACTTTGGTAGTCTTGTTATTTCAGCCACAATATTATTGGTAATTCCAGCCTAGCTCGGCAAGGCAGGAAACTGGACTCCTATAGTCAGTCAACGACCTTGTCTCATGAAGAAGCTTCGGCCTGTGCCGGTCGTAAGAGGCGACGCAATGGCTCAGGTCCACTATAACGGTGACCTTCTTATGTGTTAGCAGACCCCTTAGGCCTGGATCGTTGCTAATAACAACTATCAATTTATTACCTTGAATGGAATTCGGTGTTAAACAACCAACAAACGTACTTGTCCGTAGATCAAGACCATTTGAGAGTCCTGATGGGAATGTTGCCGAACCGTGTGTCTCTGTCTTGACCCCCTTGGTCACCAAAGTCTGTGGATCGATCCTGTTGGTAAACACACCTCAACATCTTACCCAAAATAGTTTTCATGTTACATATTTACAATGGAAATATTCTCTATTTCCCGTATTTCAAGTATCCACAGTGTACTCACTTCGTTTAACCTACCATCGCCTCTAAATCACAACACGTGACTAAAAGTCACTAAAATCAGACGGAAATATAATCCTGAAATTTGTCCATAAACTAAGACCTTCACACTTGGCCAGCACGTACAGATGAGAAAAAGACCTTTAGGAAACACACGTTAAAGGAGGGATTTGTCATTTATTATCAGAGGGGATCGGGGTAGGAGTGGAATGGAGTGGAGTGGAGTGGAGTGGGTGTTCTTCTTATGACTATAATAGTTTTGTAAATTATCCAAAAACTTAGTGCTATTAGCACCAGTCTTTATCATTCTTTACTGGTGTCCATTTAAACAGTTCAACTCAAGAAATGTGGCATTCGTTACCGCTCGTATCATTCCAGTTAATCATGAGTAACTCGTGTCATTTCGGGACATGTGGAAACATCTTCATGCATGTTCCGGAAAGGGCCGAGTGGTGACGAATGAAAGGATATCGAGGTGTCATGGAACGTCATGGAACGTCATGGGTCGGTCAACCAAGGTCTGGCGTCCTTCTAAAAATAGCTACACCAGCGCCCATACCAGAGACAGCGGTAGATTATTCACATATATACCATTGTGTAAGAATAACAGCTATGTTAAAGTATTCGTATGAAAGAAAGAGAATTATTAAAGGACATTCTATTGAGTTAATGCTTGTATCAAGACATCAAGTGTACCTTTCCGAAATTGATTTGCGAGTCGCCATGATCAGGCCAGGACGCTCCACTGTGTTCTGTTGGAGTTGAAAGGACGGGTCCAAAGGACCTTGCCCACTGGTGGCCTAGAAACGCTATTGTGGCGTGACTCGGCGACTTGATGGCTTAAAAAGCATATATAAAATGGTTCTCAGCCAATGACTTTTGAAAATGTGGTGCCGCAGCAGGCGGTCTCTCTCAGATCTCAATTCAGAATGCGAAGTTTATCTAAATCACATAGACCTGAACCCGGAAGTGGCATGTCAACAAATCAGTACTAGAGTACGCACCTTGTCCTGTTACGCTCTATCGGGCCATAAATGTATTTCTTGTGCATCCGGATGTGCGTTGGTAATGAATTAGACCTATAAATATATTACTCAAGATAAGATTTCGTCTGATATTCTTTTCATGAGTTTATGGGGAACTCGTGTGTCACACAGATCGGAAGCAAAGGGAAGCAATTGTATGCTATATTCGATCTCTATATTTACAGTATTGCACTTTGGCACTTCCTGAATAGAATGTTCAAGACACCATCCATCCATCCATCCATCATTACCTCCATCTTCACATCCATCCATACACACATACTACGGTAGATTATCCTTTGGTTTGGTAACTATAATTTTATCTATAAAACAGAATGTTCTCTTTTTTGAGCTAGCAAGAAGTCAGTATTTTCCCGTCTTTTCTCAGTATTATATAACCAACAGTCTTAAATCTGAAGTTTACTCCTATTGTGATACTCAATACGTCAAACTCTACTGAATGATACTCTAACTACTTACAGTTTCATGTTGTGTGTTATGTGTTTAAGTTATCTCGATAAGCTATACAAAAAAGGCAAAATGTCAATATTAAGCATAATTCAGAAGAGAAGTGAGTTATCTGCACACTGTCCTCATTCATATTCTTCAATTCTCTGGTCCTCTCTGCAATGTCTTCAGGCGCTCATACTAATATCAAACGTTTCGGCAACGAGGATGAAAAGACAGGGCGATATAGAGTAACCTTGGCCACAACCCCTTTCTTAGTTTTCATTGTTTTACTGCTTCCTTTCATTTCTTCACAATTCATTTCATTTTCTAGCTTATCAATATATCAGTGTATTAGTTTTTTGTGTTTCTTTTTGTGTCTACATATGGTAGAAACTATGAAAATGATGAAGGTGAATATTGTCTTTGGTTTTTCATCCATCGGGTGATTTTTTGGTCCTTTCATTTAGTTCTCGCTGTATATCTGGTATCTTCCCATAAGACAGACCTCCCAAAAGACAGACCGCTTAAAACAACACATTTTAAGGCTTAATTAAGCTGTACCCTTAATAATAATGGTATGAGCCCAGATAAAAAACCCATTATGTATTAACCGTAGTTTAATCAATTCTTGTAATGAATTATGATTTTTAAATTAAGACATATTGCATCGACATATATGTACATCAACATATATTTGCCAGATCACATTTACTTGTGAATATTATCAACAATTTTTTTTTATATACATGTACCTATCAAACATATGAGACCAAGCACCATATTATGTTACATCACATGTTTGTCATTGCACAGATAACACTTATTAGAAAGTCACCTGAACATCATCATTTTCTCCTTTCACCCAGCTCTTGGCATACAGGTAGCCGTCTAGAAGGGTGATCGGGGAAAAGTCATAGGAAAAAAGTCATTGTGTTGTAAAGAATGGAAACATAGAGTTAATTTAGATGTCTGTGATGAACTTCACATTTAATTATACTGTCCAGCACTAAATGCCCTCAGAAATCAATTTCTTACGAAATATTTCTGTAAACATCCTAAATTGAAAAATTTGTTAATCTAATGAAATGTGATTATTCACCACTTAACTCTAGAGTTGCCAAATTTATCAAAACTGGACTTTGTTCAATGTTTTAATATGTATCAATATGCTGTATGTTCTCTGTGTCACTAAAGACTCACTATATGTGCTTTTTTACAATAAAATTTCGGCTCTATTCTGTTGTGTTCAGTAAAAAGGGTTAGTAATATGTTTTGAGAAAGGCACAGGAGATAGGAGTGAGTTGTTAATATACTATGTAGTGACTGTGGGTCAGCTCATTAATTAAATAAGGGTGGACAGCATGGCTCAGCTAATTAGTGTACTCATTGAGTCTGTCTTATGGGCGGTCTGTCTTTTGGGAGGTCTGTCTTTTGGGATTGAACCGTACATCTAGAACCTTAATGTGCATATTGGGTCCTTTGAAAATATGACACTGATTTCCTGGTTTTTGGATTACTTATGTTTCTATAATTTAAGACTGAGTGATTTTCAGGTAGGAGTGGTGGCATAATGCAAACACATGTAATACGTGTCAGTTTATGCTCAAAATATAAAAAATTAAATTGTGTAAACGGCGTAACACAACACAAAACGGATTACGCCGTTTGCACAAATTTGGAAAAAGTTTCACGTTTAACATGTTATAGCAGACAGCCTTACCTCAGTGTTAAGGTATGAGTTATTGTCCGTTAACATCAATCAGTTTGGTGTGGATACCCAGTCATGTGGAATACATTACTGCATATAGTCACTCAAGGGGCCAGTTGGGGATAATGTACACTTATTGTATGTGAAGTTAAGAAATGTTGGATGATAATAAATTATGAAGGATCGAAAACACCCGTCCAGTTAGAGAGAAGGTCTAGTTAAAAGATGTCCTGTTGTGTCGAGTACACTGAAGTTATGACGGTGGGTACAATGTGTGAAGCCCATTTCAGGTGTCCCCCCGCCGTGATGTTGCTGAAATATTGCTAAAAGCGGCGTAAAACTAAAACTCAGTCAGTCAGTCAGTTATGACGGATATTGATATCGGATGTTGTCCTGCCTCCGTGATCCTGATAAACCAATTGTCGGTACTGGTTATTTCCCTGCCTTGCGCTCGGCATTAGTGGTTTTCTCTAACACTCTCCTTATAAGGCCGACTCAGCACTATTCCAGCTTTGTGGCAGCGGTGTGTAAATAATCGAGTCTGAACCAGACAATCCAGTGATCAACAGCATGACCATTGATCTACGCAACTGGGATATGCTGACATGTGTCAGTCATGTCAGCGAGCCTGACCACCCGATCCCGTTAGTCGCCTCTTACGACAAGGGTTACTGAGGGTTCGCTCCTTGTGAAACAGATAACAATAGGCATAAGGTGGGAAAAGGGCACTTTACTACAAAGCCCATATGGTGAAAACATAGTGATACAGATATATACAGGTATTACTCGATTCAAGCTAAGAATTGAGTTAAACCAAATGTTAGCATCGTGTTCTCAAGGACGTTGACAAAAGTAGTGCATTGCTATACCGTGGCAGGAAGGTAATCCAAAGTGGCACATCATGTTACCTAAAACGTTGCAAAGACGTTGATCCAAAGTTACATACCTTTGTAACAGTGTTACAAGTAAAACAATACATTGTCAAGGAGATGCAAAGATCTTCCAATCTTCCATATTCCAATGCTAACATAACGCGTTAGAACAGGATTATAGAGGCGTTAATCCAAATACAACACTTGTTCTTAGTTGAAACTTTGTGCGGTCGGAGGGGTAGCCTAGCGATTAAAGCATTCGCTCGTCACGCCGAAAACCCACGTACAATGTGTAAAACCCATTTCTGGTGTCCCCTGGCGTGATATTGCGTAAACCTACACTCACTCACTCACATTCACACTTGAAACGTTGTGGTGATGCCGATTCAAAGAAAAGCACGACGACCAACGTAAACTCGCCCAATAAAAATGTTTCCTGGAATAAAGCTATTTAAACCACAGTTTTCTGCTTACAGTATAGTTCCATACTTTGAAATGTGACGCTAGAGTCTGCTGGTTTGTTCAAATATATCATCATATCGATAAAAACGTATACGAGCCTGGTAGATGCTGATTCCTGACTTGACAATATTAAAACATATCATGTCAGCATCAGTTTCATCATCCCAGAATTCAACAGCCAACACATCAGCCACCTCACTCTCACCCATATGGAGGAAGGAAGCCGATTTGAGGAGGAGTGACTCGGTGTTTAATTCGCACTGTATTTTGTTCCTGAACAAATGATCATCCAGAGCGTCAAGACAGTACTGTAGGTACAAAACCGCGTTCGTGTGTTGGTTCACGTCGATATCCCGACTTTTAACTGTTACCAAGTAGGGATTAGAGTTAACTCCCCTGCACATCTTGATAGGAGTTGTCTCCACCTTCCTGAAGGTAACCCCAGGATCCTTGTTGTACAGTTGGCCGAACTTTTCCCGAAACCAATCTGGTACCGGGCATGGTCTTCTGGTCGACTTTGACACAGCAACGCCATTATTTTTTAGACTAGCTGTCACGTGAGGGGCTCCAGGTACCTTCAGAATTGATTCCCAGACAAACGACGATGTTCGGAAAGATGCAAATCTTGTCTGAACCTCCGCTGGATACTTTGGCAGTCTCGGGTTGTACATGCTGGATGAGAGACTCAGTTCTCCGCTGACAAGGAAAAGTAGTTTGTCTGTAGTTAATTTATCGTTGTCCATGAACGGTGGATGCTTGTCCGTCTCCAAAAACACAAACGTTCGACCACGAAGTAGGAGGCGGAACACTCCAATAGGGCTGACTAGGCCTGCAATATATAACAAATCCATTGGATAGAGAACAGTTTGGTTGTAGCTTACCATTTGTTTCTCAACCTGCAAGTAGATGAATGTCGAGTGTGGGATATAACGCTATATTATGGAATGTTTCTTCAATCTCATTCGTCCATGCTTAACAAAAGAGTCAGGATACACTATTGTATCTCAAAGAAAGTTGTTATCCACAGGTTGTGTTTACTTTGTCATCCCATAGGTTCTTGAGAAAATCTTGTCACACAATCCAATTTAACTCAAAAAGTTTAGTCGCTTATACGAGTTGCCCCCCACCTCTCCCATTTGCTCCAAACCAATTGGCGGCGCCACATCACCCCAAACGTTTTGGCATTATTCCAGCTATCGAATCTGGACCAGACAATCCAGTGATCAACAGCATCAGCATTGATCTACGCAACTGGGAACTGATGACATGTGTCAACCAAGTCAGAGAGCCTGACCACCCGATCCCGTTAGTCGCCTCTTACAACAAGCATGAGTTGCTTGAGACCAAATCTAACCCGTATCTTCACAGTTAATGCAATCGTTATGGGTTTCACGACGACCTGGCCGATAAACAACATCCCTTTATTGTAATTCTGCAAGTCCTTACATCACATCACCACAGCTCTTGAAAAGACTTGGAAAATAATTCGTCAACACTCATGTGACAGAACACGGTCTCTTAACATTCTAGGATTGGCGAAGTTGTGTCCTGCTGCCGCCATGTTGATTTCTCCAAAATATAACTCATAATTCCAGCCTAGCTCGGCAAGGGAGAAAACAGGACTTCTATAGTGAGTCAACGACCTTGTCTCAGGAAGATGCTTCAGCCTGTTCTGGTCGAAAGGCTCCGTGATGGCTCCGTGATGTTGTAATGTTTCAAAATACCTCGGAGGTATAGATCGTTGCTAATGATAACTATAAGTTTATTATCTTGAATGGCATTTCAGCCACAATATTATTGGTAATTCCAGCCTAGCTCGGCAAGGCAGGAAACTGTCAGTCAGTCAACGACCTTGTCTCACGAAGAAGCCTGTGCCGGTCGTAAGAGGCGACGCTATAGCTCGGGTCGACTATAACGGCGACCTTCTTATGTGTTAGGAGACCCCTGTGGCCTGGATCGTTGCTAAGGATAACTATAAGTTTATTATCTTAAAAGATCAACCAACCAACGTACTTGTCCGAAGATCAAGACCATCTGAGAGTCCAGATGGGAATGTTGCCGAACCGTGTGTCTCTGTCTGGACCCCCTTGGTCACCAAAGTCTGTATCTGTACCCTGTTGACAAAGTACAAGGACTTGTGATTACCACACCTCAACATCTTAACCAGAATTCGTATCATTTTCATGTTAAATGTTAAAAATGGAAATATCTAGATCTTCCGCATTACAAATACCCACAATCCCCTAGCTGAACACGTTTCTAAAAGTCACTGTGTTCAGATAGAATTACAATCCACAATTTTGTGTGTGTGTGTGTTTGTAAAAAGAAACACATAAGCCATTTTAGAAGGATTTATTGCGTTAGATTAAGGGCAATTATTTCATTTAATTCGATGTTAAAAAGGTGACGCGTTTATAGACAAAGAGTTCGCTATTATTGTGTTTCTGTTTACTTGAGTTCACAAGATGGCGTCAAAGTCAGTACTTTGTATGGCCACCATTGGCAGCAATTACTGTTTGGCACCGTCTCGGAACAGACACGGTTCTTCATGCAATGCGAGGCCAGTTGTGGAAGTTTAATCGGGAAGGCCAAGGCAAGACACTGACATTAGAATTGGCAAGGTAGCGGACCGCGACGCGTGCTGTATGTGAAGTAGCGTTGTCATGCTGGAACAACTCGCTCTGTCGGTCCATAATCGGAAGCATGTGACGTGCAAGGACTTCGTAGGTGTATCCTGAACCACCACTAAATCAGATCTGTGTGTGTTGGATATAGAACCACACCCCTGACACTGCCTCCACCGAATCTGTTGACTTGTCGAATGCAATTAGGGGCAAAACGTTAATTGCTTCGACGGTAAACACGCTGTCTTCCATCCGGTGAAAATGAAATCGTGATGAATCACTGAACCAGACTCGTCTCCAGTGTCTAAAGTTCCAGTTCCGGAGTGTACCGATTGAAGTCTATGAAAACAGGGGCCTTTCCTGGGCCTTCTTGGTCGAATCCCCACCAGCAATCGATTCCTGACACTTTGGTCAGAAATTCTTCTCAAACCAGGGATGCGTTGTGCAGTCTCCACGGCTGACGCAAGTGAGCAGCCCGAATGTAGCGGTCCTGGGCTTGGGTGGTAACTCTTGGACGGCCGCTTCGCTTCACGGGCGATCTTGGGCGGAATTGGTCTGCAGGAAAGGCATGATATGGCGGGATATGATACTCTGATGAACGAATAAATGTCGAGCAACTGCAGACTGCTTCAAGGCGGCCTTTGGCGATGTTTCGAATGGCGGCACTCAGTCGTGGCATGATGATTTCCTCTTTTCCTGGCAAAAACGAATGCCAAATTTAAACACAACGTTTGCCTTTTTATAGTGATCGATACGCATGATTTTCCGCTTACTTGCACGTGCATTTTGCTTTGCATGTTTTCTTGGTAGCGTTTTGGCGAAAATTTCTTCAAACGCTTCAAAAACGAGGGAAAAGATTAAAATTGCCGCTTTTGGGCGCTGAAGCTGTTTACAATCACACAAAGATGAGGTTTTTGGAAAATATATTATATTTGTATTCTTTTTTGCCGCAGCTACATGAGTCCTATATTCTCAAAATCTCCTACGCGTTTCTGTTTCCGAAGAGTGTATATATTTGTCATACGTGACTTTAAGAGAAAAATAGGAGTGAATGTTTTTAATCCAACTATATCAATTTTCCACGCGTTATAGGGCGGACTGGTAATTTATTATCAACGGGGTTCATTGTGGGAGTGGTGTGGGTGTTCTTCTCAGCACTATATTATCTAGTAAATTACTAATGTCATGAGTACCCGTTTTCAGCATTTTTACGGGTGCCCATTTAAACGGTTCTACTAAAACAATTGTGTCATTCGTTACCCCTTGTATCATTCCGGTTAATCGCCAAATAACGGGCACCATTCGTCAGTACCTCGTGTCATTCAGAAACCTCTTCACGCATGTTCCGGAAAGGACCGAGAGTCGACGAATGAAAGGGATATTGCAGCTAAATAAACTTAGGCTCAGTATTATTCGTTACACTGCTATACTGAGTCTAACAAACCCTAGTAGAAGGTCGCGTCAGCTAACCAGTAACGATTAATACTGAGCCTAAGTTTACTTAGACTGGGGGATATGGAGGCATCGGTGTCCGCCCGGGAAAGCAATATTTGAAACATACCAATTGCCGCTAAAGCCACATTTCAAGTACAAACCTCGGTGCCGCGAATCGCCGCGAGAGCCACAACGAGTAAGGCAATCAATACCGTTTTTTTCAAATAAGCGTCACCCATTGATCACAATGGATTAAAATTGCTTTGGTAACTTGTCCTTTGTTTGGTTAACATTTGATGGGCGGCTTCTTTATTCTCGCTGAAGGTTTTAGTTAACATATGATAACATATGTTCTGAGATAAAATGATACATGCTAATGGGTCATTCTATGGAAAAGGGCAATTTGAGCTTTAGCCCTTAAGACAATTTTATTTGTATTATATTTTATGTTTTCATGTAAACTACTTTGGTTTATAAGATTAATACATGTATATTGCATCAGCAGACAAGTTTGGACAAGAATTTTCCATCAATTTTTTTGTGACGTTTCAACTTTAAACAAAATGTCATTACCGCAGCGGTGGCAAAAATACTGATTTTGGAAAATCTAGTCATAAATTTTGCTTAAAAAGGGCTATGAAATGGAAAGAGTTAGGCGTCACATATGTGGCGGTTTATATTTATATTTGTGCAATAAATGGTCATTCTTCTAATTTGTTGTTGTTGTTGAGTTTTTAGCATGAATGTAAACATAATAAATGAAGCAACCATAGCTCTTATCTCAAACAGCTATCAGAAAAGGATAAAACTTTAAATTGACCCTCCCATAAGTTAAAATGCTTAAAAGACTTTTCTCCACGAACAATTCAACTGGATTTATAGATTTTACATAATGAATATTTCACATTATTTACGGTAACATGGATTAGTTAATAGCGCAATGAGGGGAGTGCCACATTCACGAGATCACTCAACCATGCCCATTGCCGGTTGAGCCACACCATTTTCCACTCTGTTTATCTTAAATGTGGCTTTCCCGGGCTATAACCGAGGCGTCTGCGCGTTAATGGAACGTCAGGGGTCGGTCAACCATGTCTAAAAATAGCTACACTCGCCCATACCGGAGACCGCTGTTGATATACATCAAAGCGTAAGATTGAAAGCATACTCGTATAAAAGAAAGAGGACATTCTACTGAACAAATGCTTGTAACAAGACATCAAATGTACCTTTCCGAAACTGATTTGCGAGTCGCCATGGTCAGGCCAGGACGCTCCACTGTGTTCTGTTGTAGTTGAAAGGACAGGTCCAAAGTACCTTGCCAAGCGATGACCCAGAAAAGCTGTTGTGGCGTGACTCGGCGAATTTATGGCTTAAAGAAAAATAAGAAAAATGGTTCTCAGTCAATGATGTTTGAAATTGTGGTGCCGCAGCAGGCGGCCTGTCTCAAATTTCAATTCAGAATGCGAAGTTTATCAAAATCACAAAGACCTGAACCCTTAAGTTACATGTCAACAAATCCGTACTAGAGTACGCACCTTGTCCTGTTATGCTCTATCGGACCATTAATATATTTCTTGTGCATGTGGGTGTACGTTGGTAATGAATTAGATCTATAGAGATATTATTCAAGATCCACAAATCGCAATGTCTGGCCATTGTACGAGTCAAATATATACGTTATCTTGAATCTCTCCACAAGCAGCATTGTAGGCATTCGGCACACAAATACAGATGAATTTGTAAATTATCATGTTCATATTTTCATGAACCAAATTAGCTTCTGTATATTAGCCCGAAAGTCCTTACCGGCGAAGCCATAACCCGGATATGACACGAGATGTTCAGCTTGGTGGTGCGCATACAAAGGGAAGGAACTGCAGGCTATATTCGATCGCTTTATTTACAGTGTGTTCGAGACACCATCCATCCATCCATACATACATCCATACATACATCCATACATACATACATCCATCCATCCATCCATACATACATACATACATACATACATACATACATACATACATACATACATACATACATACATACATACATACATACATACATACATACATACATACATCATACTCGTCACGATATGGCTGAGATATTGCCGATGTGACGTTAAATATTAACTCACTCACTCACATCATACATTTTGTTCTAGGGAGGTGGGAGGGTCATCAATTTTGCACGTATGTACGGATGGGGTGGGGGTGTCATAAATTTTGAAAATATAACTAATTTAAAATTATGCATAAAAATATGGGGGTCGGGGTCATCGATGTTGTACATGACATGCAGGGGAGGTTCGCTTACTTTGCACATAAATTGCAGGGGGGGGGGTATCTAAATGTCAGTAAATCCGAGTGTGAACTTCAAATTGTCTTTCTCTTTAATGTCACTTTTTCCAGCTAGCAAGTCGTCAGTTAGTACTTAGTATTTCCCCCTTTTCTTTGTATTATATCAGCAACCCTATCTGAAATAAAGTTAAATCCTATTGTGATACTTTAAACTCTTCTGAATGATAGTTATACTCGAAATCCTGACAGATTTGACAGTTTCATATTAGTGCTAGCATGAAAACCATCGAAATAGCTTCTTTTTTCAAACTTTTTAGTTATCTTGATAAGCTACACAAAGAAGGCAAAATGTCAATATTAAGCATAATTCAGAAGAAAAGTGAGTTATCTGCACACTGTCTTCATTCATATTCTTCACTTGTCTGGTTCTCTCTGCAATGTCTTTAGGCGCTCATACTAATATCAAACGTTTCCGCAACGAGGATGAAAAGACAGGGCGATATAGAGTAACCTTGGCCACAACCCTTTCTTAGTTTTCATTGTTTTACTGCTTTCTTTCATTTCTTCAAATTTCATTTCACTTTCTAGCTTATCAAATAGCTGTGGATGATTTTGTGTGTGTTTCTTTAAGTGTCTACATATATTAAAAACTATGAAAACGTAGAATCTGAATTTTGTCTTTGGTTTTTCATCCATTGGGAAACTTTTTGGACCTTTCATTTTGTTCGCGCTGTATATCTACACATAACCTGTATGTGAAGGATTTAGCCTTGTGGTTGGTTGGTTGGTTTGCTGTTTAACGACGCACTCAACAGTATTCCAGGTATATGACTGCGGTCTGTAAATAATCGCCTGACGACCCGATCCTGTTAGTCGCCTCTTACGACAAGGGTTACTAAAGACAAATTCTAACCCGGATCTTTACGGGTTCGCTCCTTGTGAAAAGGATAGCAATAGGCACAAGGTTGGAAAAGGGCACTTTACTACAGGATACAAAGCCAGTATGGTGAACACATACTAATACAGATATATGCTGCTCTTGCTGAACAAGCTTCCGATTGAGTTAAACCAAATTTTAGCATCGTGTTCTCAAGGACGTTGAAAAAAGTAGCCCATTGTTACACCGTGGTAGGCACGTCATCCAAGGTGGCACATCCTGTTACCATAAACGTTGCAAAGACGTGATCCAAAGTTACATACCTTTGTAACAGTGTTACAAGTACAACAATACATTGTCAAGGAGATGCAAAGATCTTCCAATCTTCCATGTATATATGTTCCAATGCTAACATAACGCGTTAGAACAGGATTATAGAGGAGTTAATCCCAAGACAACACTTGTACTTCGTCGGCACTGTGTGCGGGTGGAGGGGTAGTTCGGCGATTAAAGCTCGTCACGTGTGAATCCAATTTCTTGTGTCCCCTGCAAATTCAAGGGAAAGCACGACGCTAAACGTAAACAAAAATGTTCCTGGAATAAACATATCCAAATCACAGTTTTCTGCTTACAGTAAAGTTCTATACTTTGAAATGTGACGCTAGAGTCTGCAGGTTTGTTCAAATATATCATCATATCGATAAAAACATATACGAGCCTGGTAGATGCTGATTCCTGACTTGACAATATTAAAACATATCATGTCAGCATCAGTTTCATCATCCCAGAATTCAACAGCCAACACATCAGCCATCTCACTCTCACCCCCGTGGAGGAAGGTAGCCGATTTGAGGAGGAGTGACTCGGTGTTTAATTCGCACTGTATCTTGTTCCTGAACAAATGATCACCAAGAGCGTCAAGACAGTACTGTAGGTACAAACCCGTATTCGTGTGTTGGTTCGAATCGATATCCCGACTTTTAACTGTTACCATGTAAGGATTAGAGTTAACTCCCCTGCACATCTTGATAGGAGTTGTCTCCACCTTCCTGAAGGTAACCCCAGGATCCTTGTTGTACAGTCGGCCGAACTTTTCACGAAACCAATCTGGCACCGGGCATGGTCGCCTGGTCGACTTTGACACAACAACGCCGTTATTTTTTAGACTAGCTGTCACGTGAGGGGCTCCAGGTACCTTCAGAATGGATTCCCAGACAAACGACGATGTTCGGAAAGATGCAAATCTTGTCTGAACCTCCGCTGGATACTTTGGGAGCCTGGGGTTGTACATGCTGGGTGAAATACTCAGTTCTCCGCTGACAGTGAAAATTAGGTTGCCAGTACTTAATGTCTGGATGTCCATGAACGAAGGATGATTGTCCGTTTCAAAAAACACAAACGTTCGGCCACGAAGTAGGAGGCGGAACACTCCAATAGGGCTGACTAGACCTGCAATATAAAGCAAATTCATAGGATACAAAGGAGTTGGTTTGTAACATAAAACAGTTACATAACATATGTGTCATTAAATGTGGAATATAACACTGTTTGTGGGATGTTTATGCAACCTCAGTCGGCCTTGAATGACAAAAGAATCAGAAACCACGCCGCTAAATTGTATCTCAAAGAAGTTGCTTTGAAGAAGTTCTGTCTGCTTTGTCATCCGATAGGTTCTTAAGAAAATCCTGACAGGCAAATCAGAGACATGTTAATAGGTTTCCTGACCCAATCCAACACCACCAGTAGCCTATACGAGTTATGTCCCCCAACTCTCACATCACTTGCATTTGCTTCAAACAATAGGCAGCGCCATATCAAGATGATCTGGTCGAGAATGAAGATATTTACTGTAATAATACGAGTTCTTTGATCGCCAGGTGCATCAGCTTCTTGAAACGATTGGACATCATCTGTGGACTCCTTCTTGGCCGCACACAAGCACTTACAATTCTGCGATTGACGAAGTTGTGCCCTGCGGTCGCCATGTTGATTTTGTCTCGCGATTGGTATTGGACTATGCATATACTCGTTTCTCCCGCCAAAATGTAGCTCACACTTCCAGCCTAGCTCGGCAAGGGAGGAAACTGGTCTTATATAGTCAGTCAACTCCCTTGTCTAATGAAGATGGCTCGGGTCGACAGTATGGGTAACTTTTTAGTCCCTCTGAGGCATGGGTCGTTCTAATGATAACTATCAATGGATTATCTCGAATGGAATTCGGTGTTAAACAACCATCAAACGTACTTGTCCGCAGATCAAGACCATATGAGAGTCCAGATGGGAATGTTGCCGAACCGTATGTCTCTGTCTTGATCCCGTTGGTCACCAGAGTCTGTGTACTGATCCTGTTGAAAAATTGAAATAACTTATCTTATCACTTTCATGTTACATATTTACAATGGAAATATTCTAAATATAATTCGTTTAACCTAGCATCGCCTCCAATTCCCCTACCACGTGAGTATAAGTCACTGAATCCAGATAGAAATACAATTCTCCATTTTGTCCATAAACAAGAACCATATTACATTTTTTAAAGCGAGTTAGTGAGCATGAATTTACACCGCGTTTATCATTATTTCAACAATATCACGGCGGGGGACACCAGAAATGGGCTTCACACATTGTACCCTTGTGGGGAATCTAGCTGGTCTTCTGCGTGACGAGCGAACGCTATAACCACTTGGCTACCCCACAACCCCTTAGGCAGGACAAATGTTAGATTTTAATCTATATGTTTAAATGCAACCAGAACAATTTTACACACGTTAAAGGACAGTATGGTCATTTATCATCAGCGGGGTCGGGATGGGAGTGGAATGGGTGTTCTTCTTAGGACTATGACATTTTGTAAATTACCCCAAAGCTTCTTGTTTTATCATTCTTTACGGGTGCCCATTTAAACGATTCTACCCAGGAACTGTTGCATTCGTTACCGCTCGTATATCATTCTAGTTAATCGGCAAATAACGGGGTCACTATTCACGAGTTACTCCTGTCATTTTGGGACATGAGGAAAAACAACTTCGTGCATCTTTTTTTCATATTTATTATTTATATATATTTATAGAGCGCCAGTATCCAGATCACCTGCTCAAAGGCTCAAGGCGCTTCATGGAAATGGTCGAACAGCGACGAATGAAAGGGATATTGAGCTGTCTGGGCGTTCATGGAACGTCACGAGTCGGTTAACTAAGGCCTGGCGTCCTTCTATAAATAGCTACACCAGCGCCCATGCCGGGACCGCGGTAGATCATTCACAAATACAACATGGCGTAAGAATGAACGCTAAATTAAAATATTCATATAAAAGAAAGAGAATTGTTCCAGGACATTCTACTGATGTATCAAGACATCAAGTGTACCTTTCCGACACTGATCTACGACTCGCCATGATCAGGCCAGGACGCTCCGCTGTGTTCTGATAGAGTTGAAAGGACGGGTCCAAAGTTCCTTCACCCAGCGATGGCCTAGGAACGCTGTTGTGGCGTGACTCGGCGGATGTATGTCTTTAAAAAAGTACCAAGAAATGTTTTCAGCGAATGACATTCGAAGATATGGTGCCCAAGTTCATTTCAGTGTGCGAATTAAGGCGTTATCAAAAACACGTTGATTTGAACCCGGAAGTGACATATCAACAATTTGATCAGTACTGGAGTTAACACGTTTGTCCTGTTATACCCTATCGGGCCACAAATTTATTTCTTGTGCATCTAGATGCACGTTGGTAATGAATTAGATCTGTATCAATGTTTTTCGAGATATTAAACTTTCTTTAAATGAGTTTATGGGGAAATCACCTCACCACGAGTTCTCCTTGAAGCGAACACTGCTGTCGTTCAAGACACAAAGTCCCCTTCCATTGTATCTTACTTTTCCTCATGGTTTTTATTTTTATTGTGGCTATGAAAAGGATTTTCAAAACTAACTCACCCACAGATCGGGGAGAAATCGTGTGAACAGCTGATTGCAATATCTGGCTATTTTAAGAGTCAAATACACATGTTATCTTGAATCTCTGCATATGAAACATTGTTTGCATTCAGCACACAGACACAAATGAATTTGTAAATGATCATGTTCATATTTGCGTGGATCAAATCAGCAAACAGCAATGTGTACAAGCTCGAAAGTCTTTACCGGTGAAGCCATAACACGGAGGAGATGATCAGTTTAGTGGTGCGCATGCCAAGGGAAGTAACTGCAGGCTATACTCGATCTATTACTTACAGTTTTGCACCATGGCACTTCCTGAGTGGTGTGTTCGAGACGCGTTTTATTTACAGAATATTATATTTTGAAAATAGAAATAGAAACGAAACGTACGACGTACTCTTTGATGATGTGAGCGTTCCACGGGAAACGAATCTATTTATTTAAAAAGGCTAACCTTATACATTCAACCGTAGACAATTCTTAGGGTTTTGTAACTATAATTTTATTTATTAAAAGATGTTTTCTTTTTCAAACTCGCAAGTAGTAAGTTTTCACCTCTTTTCTTAATAATATTTAGTCATTCTCTTTCGGCGCTCATAATAACATCAAAATATCATGATAGACAGGGCGATATCGAGTCACCCTGGCCACTACCACTACCAGTTTTCGTGGCACTAGAAATGGGCTTTACACACTGGAGAATCAAACCAGAGTCTTCGGTGTGACGGGCGAACGCATTTACCACTACGCTACCCCGCTGCCTCTTTATCATCTAAAACCGTTCCACGGGATATATTGATTTCGTGAGATCAAACGATATCTCCTAGGAGATATCATTTTGACAGTAGATTTTGTACATTGAATTGACAATGCTATGACGTCATGAACTTGATGACGTCACAATGCTATGACATCGGTGCACTGCAAGTCTAATGGAGGAAACCGTGTTCAGAGATGTATATTTTTAATCGAAAAAGAGTGCTTTTTATGATAAATAGAATCTCACCCTCGTGTCTTCTGATATCAAATATATCACTCTTGGAGTAGAAATATCCAAGGCAAGTCTCGGATATTTGTAACTTTATCAACTATTGGTGATAAATTGGAGATCGAAAGACACTCGGTTGAGATTCTCTCTATATTTGAAACTGTGAAAACGTAGTGTAGCATATTGTCTTGTGTTTTTCATCCATAGGGTAATTTTTCGCTACTTTCATTTTAGTTCTCTCTGGGGGTTTTCAACAAAAATCATTTTATGTGTATTTTGTAAAAACAAACATCTATGATACTTTATTCCTTGGTTTTGCACTACTTATGTTTCTATGATATTACGGGGCGGTGGGGCAGCCTTATCGTTAAAGCGTTGGCTCGTCACGCCGAAGACCCTGGTTCAATTCCCAACATGGACACAATGTGTGAAGCCCATTTCTATGTACCCCGCCGTGATATTGCTAAAAGCGGCGTAAAACAATACTCACTCACTTACTCTATAATATTACACTGATATTATTTAGGTAAGAGTGATGGTATACCGCAAACGACTTTATCCATATTGGCTGGGATTATTATATGGGTATAGTCCATCCCACATGCATACTCAAAGCGCTTCTTTGTTTTTCTATCGACCGTTGGATGTCAATCTCAGCGGCACATCATATTACCAATCTCAACTCCCTGGGGATCATATAACTCATGCAGCCACTAGGCGCACTGAGTTAATGTGGCTTTCCCATCCTTACGAGGTACCCATTCGAAGCTGGCTGGACTGGGACACATAGTCACAGTGCTAGGTGTGTGCTCATTTACCAACGGATTCGTGGGTTTCTTTTAAGTGCACAGGGTTGTCTACTGTACACTTGGGGTTGTGACAACACTGAAAGAGTCTGCACACAAAGATGACTCCAAGGTTTTTACACCCGGTCACAGGTGGGCTCGATCTCGGCACCTCAAGATCGCTGGATCACTAGCCTGGCGCCTTAGGCAGCTCGCCCACCACGCGTCTATGGCGACTTATCCATTCATTGTACAAGGAGACAGGTTTAACACAAAATAATTCTTTGTTTCACAATTTTAATAACAAAATTCAAAATGTTAGTGACAAATGTTAGTCAACGCAGCCATGTGCCTTTCATACACCTGATGTTGAAGAACAAGACCATAACTTAACTAATATATAATGAACATTAAAATATTTAAATAGTTCCTTATTTTTGTGTATCTAGTACATAATCTGACATTGTAGTATCATCAACGTAAAAAATATGAAGGTACAATCTAGACTGGACCAAACAATCCAGTGATCGACATTATGAGCACCGACCAAGCCGGAAGTGCCCTTAAGCTTGGGTTGATGAAGACCAGTTCAAACCCGGATCTTCACAGTTTAACAATTTATAACATCATGAATAACAAAGTAAATAACAGATAAGCAAACGTGAATATAGGAATAAACTAACCTTAATACTCAGTTAACACTGTAACAAAGACACATTAAACGCAGGCAATGAACGTCGCACTAAACAGCATTGCTGTCTCGTCCCAGCATACAAACTATGGTATATGTGGCATTTGACCGTAAAATAAATAATTATGCTTCAGATTGTTTATAAAAACGGAACTGTCTCCCCTAAAAATTACATTTTTGTCTTTTATGAAAAACATTTAGAACAGGCAGAAAATTTCATCTAAATGGTGTCTAACACAAATACATCATCCAGTGTAGACAAAATCCCAACAACTTCCATTCAGTCTACCGCTGCCAATCTAATCTGAGTGACTTATGAAACATGAGTATTTGAGGTTTATCACAGCAGAACAGTCTCACTGAAATCACATATTAAGTTCTAGCTACTGCTACACAAAGACACCCTGTTTCAGGTTGTTAAAGCGACCTTTCGCAAACTTTGAACGCAATACGAAATGAACAAAAAGTTGCCATAAGTCAATCAAAAAACATCAATTTCTCGAGCGATACAGCATAGTTATCTTTTTCAAACTTTCAACTTTCATTCCAGAATACACTTTGAAAAATATCGCTTCAAAAATTTGAACACTGTGCAAAAAACATACTGAAGTGTCACTGTGACAGTGAAGTGACGGATACATGATCATTTTCACGGGATAAGCCGAACACCCCGTAACTGTTAATCGGAATACCCTTTTTATAGCTTGATCATAAACACATTCCGAGAGTCACTTTCCAGAACGACGTCCTGACAGGTCTGACGTGACCCGTTATGCCAAAGACCAGTAATACCTAAGGCCAGATTTTAATGACATTGAATAACAGGAGTACATGCAGTTTCCATGTACCATTGTAGCGAGTCAGTGAGTTTGATTTTTACACCGCTTTTAGCAATGTTACAGCAATACCACAGCATCACACACTAGAAATAGGCTTCAGACAGTGTAAGCATATTGGGAATTGAACCATGGTCTTCGGATTTCCGAGCGTACGCATGAACTACGGCGCTACCCCACCTCCCCGACAAGATTACGACGTCCAGAAGTAAACAGTTAGAGCAACGAGGACAGCAAACACCGAGAGCGTGATCATTCTCCTCCTTAAGAAGGCTTCATCGTGTCCAAAATCAAAAACATGAGGTTGAGCCGTTTTATACGCTTCCAAAAAATCCAATCGGAATTCGGGGGCTTCCATGACTTCAGTGTCATCCACCGATTCATCGTATGGTATTACTCCAGCCAGTTGTTTAGCTTCTCTGGTTCTTCCCGATGGAGGGTGTTCCGTCAGAGGATTTGGGTCTTTGGGAGCATATGGGGGAAGTTCTTCTGAAAACAGTCCAATCCCATCGCTCGCCCAGTGTGTTGTCATGCGTAGGTCCTCGTACGCCTTTTGTTTGGTTTGCAGGGATAGCTTGTCAGCCCATTTGGCGGGAGTCATGCAGACGAACACAACATAGCGCCACCTACCGGGGTTTTCCCTTCCCCTGATAACACGAGAGTTGGCATGTACGAGACGAGAGTCCCATAAAACCATCCCACCTTTCGGAACAGCCACTCTTGTTCTCTTGAGCCCCTTTTCCTCGGTGAAAAAGTCGATATCCTCGTGTCGTAGGTTCTTAAAGCGCCATATAGGATTCTCCTTCCTCTTTCCAATGGCATATTCGTTATCCTTGTAGTACCGATCATGATACTCGTGAGTTCCTTCAATTACCTCGAAAGCCCAATCATCCTCATCAACCGTCTCGAGATACACAGCACCCTGATAAGCATGCAGCCCCTTCCTCTCCGGCCCCTGATCAATGTGCAACCAGTGTCGCCCGGGGGAATGAAAATCCTCCTCCCCATCCTCTGGGGGACGCCCAATAGCTATGGCATCTATGCTGCTCAGAAGTTTCTCTGTATACCATAGATCCTCAAAGACCTTCTTGGATTTCAGCCTCACTGCCCACGTGGGTTCCATGTGCCCAACTTTGTACCTCTGAATTAAGGATTTGATCGAATGAGGAAAAGTACCCTTGAATGTTTCCAGCCAATCGGTGTACATTCCTCGATATCTATCTGCTTCTTCATTGGTTAATACGTTCTCTACAACAGTATAACCCTTGATCTTCAGGTCCTCCCGGTGTTTATCGGTGAACATCTTCAGTAGTCTGGAAGAAAGAAATGCATAACTACGTTGATATCTATGTTAACAAACAAGATAACTGTACATTTATAACTACAGAAACAAATGTACAGTAGTCATGGAAACGAATAAGGGAACACATGAAGGTCCCCACAGTGCAATATCAAGCATGACAACAAACCCGGAAGAGAGTATAGGAACACTTACGAGTGTTCCTTTATTCGTTTCCTTGAGTATATATGCAATCTATTCCAGATATTTACCCGTTTTCTGGGCGCCTCAATTGCCATAGAAACGTATTGGGCGTGCAAAGCAAATGTTTAATTTTACATTAAAAAAACAACAAATAAAAACAATTTATCCGTTCGGTGTGGTCCGAATAAATTTTTAGTTGTTTATCACACCGTTCAAAATGATCTTGATTTGTTTGATAGTTGTTTAACGCCGTACTTAATCGAGTCTGGGCCAGACAATCCAGTGATCAATATCATGAGCATCTATCTACGCAGTTGAGGTACGATGACATGTGTCAGCGAGCCTGACCACCCGATACCGTTAGTCGCCTCTTACGACAAGCATGGGTTGCTGAAGACCTATTCTAACCCAAGTCGAACATTACCAGTGACCTACTACTTAGCGTTACAACTGAAATATGCTCAATAATACTAGTATTATTGAGAAAACAGCATCCTGGAGATACTTATCCTTGCATGGGATGGATTACAACACGAAAAGTAATTTAGCATGAGTGTAGTTACGAATGTCCAGTTACTGTCTGTAGCCACTGCACCTTTTAACACAATTACTTTTTCCAGAAATTCTGTGTTTTGTTCAACATCGGTAAGAACCTTTCCGGTTTGAGCTTGAAAGCAAATCGTTGCTTGAAAGTTAAATCGTTGTTTTGAGACAGAATATCAAGAAATGTGCTAAATAGTATAATATCGAAAACAGCATCCCTGTGATACTTAATCCTCTGTTGGATGGACCATAACACCACAAGTAATTAAACATGTACGTGCAGCGGGGGTGTTCGGTTATTATCCGCAGCAAAAGCACGTTGAACATTTGATACTATTCATTTTATTCCAGTAATGCGAGTTTTGTGTAACACTCATGAGAGGTGTTTCAGTAATGTTACCTCGGGTGAGCTTACTAGGCGAAAGCTAATCGTTCACTTTTACATGAGACAAAGCATCAACAAAGTTAATGGACACCACCTGGTCGAATGGCCAGCACAAGTAACCCTTCGAAGCGCTTAAGATCCAGACTTTCTCTCTCTCTCTCTCTCTCTCTCAGTAGTACCTTGGATACACGAATGGTTATAAACAACCGGTTGGCTAGCCTAGCGGTTAAAGCGATCACTCGTCACGCCGAAGACCCGTGTTCGATTCCCCAAATGTGTGAAGTCAAATTTCTGGTGTACCCCGCAGTGATATTGCTTGACTTTAAAACAGCATAAAACTAAAATCAACTCACTCACAAATAATCTCTCCCCCGTTAGCATGGTCAAGATATGATATACACAAGTGGTAGCCACGCTGATGCTTGTGAGTGACAGTATTACCAATCAATGGGGGAACATTCCTCAGTTATTTCCCTTTACAGCTTCGCCAATAGATGGTGCCAATCACTACGGTCCTAAGTTATACTGATAATAACAAATGTCATATCTCACCTGTTTGCGTTTACAGGATACAGGCAGGTTTATCCAAATAAGTTTTCCAGCTGTTTACAACAGTGTACACCAGTGCTGTGGCGGATTTTCTCGACTACAGCAAGACTGTACCTAGCATATATAGTAGGTCCGTGGAGTGTCGTCATTATACAGAGTATCCAACAGATAGCTGCCATGCAATACAGAATGACGTGGTGCAGCAATTCCCTTACACACTCACACATCATAGTAACCCACGTGTTCATAACCTTTCACCTGAATACCAATCGATAAATAATTATTTATCTCCTACGCCAGTGCTGATCACCATAAATATTTAACGGCTTGGGGGACTTGGGGGTGGGGACTTGGGGGTGGTTGTGTATGTTTTTGAGGGTAAAGGTGAAAGTTCGGTCTGAGGATTAGAATGTAGGTAATCGCTGTAATGGGCACTGGTCGGTGGGAGAGGGGGGGGGGCGGGGCGGGCGGTTAGAGTTGGGGTTGGGGGATATTACCTTTTTTCTGCCCTTTTAAAGAGCTGGAGATACTTTTTAGTGAAGAGATCCTTTATCGAATTCTTTTAGGATACTTAGATGTTTAATGGCTTTATTCATATCGTAGAATTACATGCATGTTTATTTCCGTTCTAGTTACAACTGGCTACATATAATTGTAGCCTAGAGAAATGTCAGTTAGAACATAATGTCTCTCATTTTGTTTTCAAAATATATTTATGAACATTTCTCAGTTTGAATTTATTCATTTCCTAAACCCATTTCCTGGTTCATAATCTATTTTAAGATGATAAGTATTGATTGCATCACCTTGCGACACGTCAATGTTATATACATTGATGTGACTGATGATTGTTTTACACGTTCTGCTCATTTAACCTACAGATATGTAACACGGGAGTAACTCACCAACAACGAAAGACTCCATTCAGGAAAAATGTTAAAAGGCATACATTATTAGAGGGTTGACAGTTTTGATTACTAAACGAGAGTGCTCTCCCTTTCCTGCACTTTGCACCCTGTCCTGTTTAGGTTCTCGCTGCAGCAGTTCGGGTATTAGGACGTGTATCAGATTATACAAGGTACCTCACGTTTTACACGACACAAATACACCATTCTCTGTGAGATCACGGATTTCATATCTAAGTAGCAGGGCACCAATGACGAGAAGTTGATCGCATTGTTGTTGTTTTATATACCATATATATTAGGTGAAGCTCACGTAAAATATCGTTTTGTGCTCTTCAATTTTGAATTTGTATTTCATATCATCGATTCTTTTCAGTCGTGGATACTTACAGAGGAAACATAATTTAAGTTGACATTTCGTACCTTAAATTATATTCAATGTCTGATTTGCTCATTATTGTAAATAAATAGGTATATGTAATTAATTTATTATACACATGTATGTATACACACCTTCATCTAACAACCCCATTTCTGGTGTCCCCCGCCGTGATGTTGCTGGAATATTGCTAAAAGCGGCGTAAAACCAAACTCAGTCAGTCAGTCAGTCATCTAACAACACATTTTCAGACATCATGAATAATTTTAGTGGGACCTTAAGTACGTGGCAGTAAAATTGTATCAGAAATATTATCTGTAAAATTAATTAACTGACATTTTTCTCAAAATGTACTCCCACTTTCTGAAGTGTAACAATCACAGGCAAATGAATATGCAGAAAAGTAACATGAGATGGTCAGTGTTAGCATGATTACAAGAAATAACAAAGCCATAGAAATGTTGTTCAAGTTGTATGTGTGTCTTTCCACAGAGTTCTGATGTAGATGGTGATCAAACTCGGTACATCCTGCTGATGTTTGGCTGCTTGAGTAAACAAGACAATGTCAGCCTTCAAACTGTAAGATAATATCACTGTCGTTTTGTTATATTGTAATGTAATATTTGAAAATATAATTTGATTCAATAACACTGATAATTTTCATATGATTTAATTATAGGGATACTCTTGCAACTGGCCCAAACATCCCCATTCAGTCCAGACCATTTCTTTCACCCCTCGAATCAAGATGGCAAAGGTTCAAACTGAGGGGGGCAAGTCCAGACAAAGTCGTATCTCTTGACTCCAACAAAGGCCATTTATATGGCATCCTCCTCCTCTGTAGTTAATTTCTCCTTAGTAGTCTCCTACTGTATTTGGGGCCGGTGGGGTAGCCTAGTGGTTAAAGCGTTCGCTCGTCACGCCGAAGACCCGGGTTCGATTCCCCACATGGGTACAACTAGTGAAGCCCATTTCTGGTGTCCCCCGCCGTGATATTGCTGGAATATTGCTAAAAACTGCGTAAAACCATACTCAGACAGCCAGCCTACTGTATTTGACTGAATATCCACACCAGTACTAATCAAAATAGATAGATATTGTAAATATCTGATGTATTAAATGCGATGGTTGCTGAGCAATATTGGCGACATTCTGAAGTCCAGTGGGGTGAAATCTGCCCTAAACTGAACCATCCACATCTTATGTTCAGTACATCTGAAATCCTTGAGTGAAATCTGCCCTAAACTGAACCATCCACATCTTATGTTCAGTACATCTGAAATCCTTGAGTGATATCTGTCCTAGACTGAACCATCCGCATCTCATGTTCAGTACATATGAAATCCTGGAGTCATATCTGTCCTAGATTGAACCATCTACATCTTATGTTCAGTACATCTGAAATCCTGGAGTGATATCTGTTCTAGACTGAACCATCCACATCTTATGTTCAGTACATCTGAAATCCTGGAGTGATATCTGCCTAGACTGAACCATCCACATCTTATGTTCAGTACATCTTAAATACCGGGCGTCATATCTGTCCTAGACTGAACCATCCACATCTTATGTTCAGTACATCTGATACCTTGGAGTGATACCTGTCCTAGACTGAACCATCAACTCATATGGGAGTTTTTCATTTAATGTGCAGAATAGGACAGCAGTTGGGTTACACCAGGCAGTTCCTGTCACCTTCTTCTGTTCGAGTTCGAATTCCTGGAGGATTTCCATATGAGGCGTTTGATGGAGCCGGTAAATAGCTAACATTTTCTAATATCAAGCTTAGTTACTTGGTTGACTGCATGGCTGCTGCTTATATTTAATCATATAGAATACACGGTGCATGTTGATACGAGTTATGACAACTCCTGACAACCTCCACTAATTCACTGAACTTACAACATTTGAAACTTGTGAAGATCCGAGTTGGACTTGATCTTCAGCAGTATTACAGTCGACTGTAGCTGTATTATGCAACATTTAACCAACATTATATCTCTGTGAGTGAGATAATATGGTTTTACACCGCTTTTCGAAATACACTTGAAAAGTTACACAGAAATGGGCTTCACACATTGTACCCATGTGTTGAATCGAACCGGGTCCTAAGCATGACGACCGCATCCGTGGTGTAGTGGTTAAAGCGTCCGCACGGAGGTCGGAAGGTCGCGGGTTCGATCCCAAACCGCGTCATAACAAAAAACGTTAAAATATGGTACTTGTTGGTCCCTGCCTGGCGCTCGGCATGAAGGGGAACATCAGGCTGGTCGGCTTGGAGTCAGTATAATGTGTCTGAGTGGGGTATTCATGCTTCACTGTGGCATGGTATCTCAGTGGGCTAGCACTATAAAACCAGCTTACGTCTGGGCTAGTACAAGTAGCCGCACATACACATACACACGCATGCACGTCGTCATATGAGCGAAATCTTCTCAAGCGCGACGTTAAACACAATTTCACCTCACCTCATCTCAGCGTGACGAGCGGACACTTTATCCACAAGGCTACCCCACCGCCTCATGTCATTTTTCTTGAGGGAAATCTGTAGCCGTCTTTGCATGTTTGGGGCAATGTATCCTCTGGGATTCCATACTGTACCTGTACGTGATCTCTTTCAGCTCGAGTACGCCCGTGGTCCGTCCTGCATCTGATCGACTCCGCCCGAGTGTACTTCTGTATCCCAACCATCGATGACCCTAACAGATCATTCGTTGATTACCACCTCTTGTGTCAAAACAACCTTCCATTTATCGTGTCACTGAAACTAGAAATAGCCCCAGAGTTATACGACGTATCGACTCCGAAAGCACCATTGGTCGTTGACTCGTATTTATCCAACATCGGCAACTCAACAATGGTCCTTGCTCACAGCGTCATGCATCCGGAGATACCGCAACCTCTTGCAAGGTGCTGGATCCAGAACGTCTTCGTTTCCAAGACGACACGACTTCCGGAAAAGCTTCCTCAGGAATACAAAGAAACATATGGCAAGTTGTGTGTGGACGGAGAGCCTCTGATACTGAAGCCACTTTCAAAACCAGCCAATAGGGATATAATTTCATCTTTTGATATGAGAGTCTACGGAAGTGAGACTGACCCGAATCTGCATACGAACTACATAAACTACCTTCGGTACTGTCTGAATGGTCTTGCGGCTATATCACACAGAGAGCAGTCGGCAAATAAGCCAACACAGGGCTTTAATCATTATGTTAAGTCGGCATCCATGCTGTATCAAAAAGAAAGTTTGATGGGGGATAATCTGACAGTTGATGTGTGGAAAGATGAAGAAAACTCCTATGCCCTCAATTTTGAAATTTTGAAACAAGATTCTCGGCTGTTTCAATCTAAAATTGAATTGCACAGTAGTGATATATGTTAGCATGTGAGTAGGCTTGGTGTGACCTGTATGTGTGCAAAAGACGGACGTTCACCATGCTAAACATTCGTTAATGCAGTTTACCACACTAATTGTTCAGTCTGGAGGCGTTTTGCTAAAACTGATTTCCGTGACCAGTGTATTGAGACATCCGCACGTTTTTTTTAAGTGGAAAATGTCAGGGAAGTTTTCAAATGTATATGCTGATAATAACTTGAAATTTTAAAGAGATGTACATTTTTATGAAATTTTACGAGAGTGGTTGGATTTGTATGAATTTAAATGAAATGAGATTTGATAAAAGTAATAACAAATTCTAAAGCTTTTACTGTATTTCTTCATCCTTAAAAATTGTTCTGGACCGATAGCGATGAGGACGTACTTGCTTTGAACACATCAGCTTCTTGTGCAAGGGTGCAGTGCAGATTTTGAAGTTCCGCCCGTTACTGGAACTTTTGGAAACATTCTATCCGATGGGTTGTCTTTGACAAACTCTCCGCCAAGAGAAGGTATAAAATACAAGCTGTGACATGTGAAGATTTGGTCTTCAGTAACACAGACAACTAACGGGATCGGGTGGTCAGGCTCGCTGACTTGAATTTATTAAAAAGTTGTTTCAGAAGTGGTGTACTTCGTAAATAAAGATATTTACCAAGTGATCTAAAATATAAAATTTCATAAATAATGTTACACAGATTGGGAAAATACGTGTTATATATTTATATCCTCATAGAGCATTAGCTGGGTCTGCCAGCATGGCATTTCAGGCCTTGTGCTCGGTTCCCATTAGCCGAGAGCCGCGATGTCTTGACTGTATAGGACCGCATCACGGCTCTCGGCTAGGGTCCCATGGGTTTGTTCGTGAAGACGGCCACCAATAGCGTGCAAAAACTCTGAAACATGCGGATAAGTAAGTCCCAAAACATTCAAAGAAAGTTTAGACCTACCATATTTTAAATCATAGGATATGTGTGATCTTAATTTATGGCTAGATTTGTCTCCTGTCGCTTTCATCTGAAGGGATGGTGTAAATCCAGCTAGGGTCCATGCCAGTAGCAAAAGTACTGTGTTTCCCCATGGTATGGTGATCTATAGTCCGTTTATATATCGTATTGTTTGAAATAGAAATCAAATTTTAGAGATAGATACTAGTTCTAAGTACTTTCCCGTGATATTGTACTTGTTTTACTGTCCTACGCCGACTGTTTTATTTTTAAATTTAACTGTGTTTATCGCGAATTTATAAGTTTGCCGATGTGATTGTAAATCTTTACTCACTCACTCACTCTGACATATGCAAGACATGCTGGCTCATAACCTAAACTGTTCCTCCCAGAGCGATGATCGCCTGTCTGAGGGCTGTCCCTGCCATGAGATTGACAGCAGCGTCATGGCCAATGTGAACTGTTTGTTTGTTGGGGTAAAACAGTTTTGTTACAGAAGCCTAGAAATGTTTAATAATTTTGCCATTTAAGGAGTTCAAACGTCCTAGCCTACGGAAGAATGAGAATGCTGATTGTTAGCTGTTTGAATTCATCTTACAATCTTCTCACATTGTTTTTCAAAAATTAAAACAATTCCACCCATCTCCATCTCCAAAATCACACGATCAGTTGACGAAAAGCTTCCTCCTTTTATTTTCTTGAAAGAGCACATTTTTCAGAGCTCTATTAAAGTCATTAATTAATCAATGGGCGTGCAGTGTTAGTGTTGAATTATACGTCAAGCGTCACTTCAAACCCAGCTAGTCCGGTGGAGTACCTGTCCCTCTCAGTTGATTTTATCATGTGTTTGATTTTCAGTCGAGAATATTTTAGGTTAGTGACATTAGATTAAAAAACAACTACCAATTAACTGAAGTGGGGATTATACAGCTCTGAGTTGATATACTTCCTTACAGCTTTAGCTCTCAAAACATCATTTGATTTTATAATCACATCATACACAACGGGTATTTTGGATATCTTATTTGAAAATACACACATCTGCTTTTTTTGGTACAGATATGCATTTCAAACATGGTAAGTGTGTTTTGTGGTTGCAAAACTATTCCTTACCCGAATCTTCAATTGGCCAACATTGTACACAATATAAATTATCCAGCCGTGGATTACATTTTACAAACTGATTTAGGAGTTAATAATGGTTAAATAGGACATATATCATTTCCCAGTTTGGTTACTCTTTCTCTTGTCCCAAAGCTTAAATATGCATAACAATTTGCATTATGTCCCACTTATTACTCAAATCGTCACATGTGAAAGGCAGTCTAAGTAAACTTAGCCTCAGTATTATTCGTTACCCTACTATACTCAGTAGAGGAGTGTAACGAATAGTACTGAGATTAAGTTTACTTAGACTGATGTGAAAGGAGGCGTGGTTCTCGACCAGCTTCGTTAACCATCGGAATAGTCAAGATTCATTCGGAGTGAATCGGACAGTTCCGTATCAGCAGCATCTGGCGTGCTCACGGAGGCGAAAAGGCAGCGTGAAACGACATTCCGATTGCAGCAAGTGCGTGTACAAAGATGGCGTCAAACACGTTATGCAGAGTGTTGGGTCTCCTTGCTTTTGCAAGTATTGCATTAGCAGGAAAAAGAACATTGATTTTAGTCGACAACTGGGCCATCAGAGAAACACATTCAACGTTTTTCAGAACATTAAGAGGTAAGAAATCGTCGATCCCACATTACTGAATTAGTTGTTTGCGATTCACTTCCATGCCGGCGAACAAACCGGTGACACGTATAAAGGGAGAAATCGATGAGAAATGAGATTGTTCGTTGGTGGCTACTTTGCAGAAGACATGGAAACTTTAACTGATAAAAATTGGGCCCAAAAATTGTGTTCATGCTTTCATGTGTCTTCACAAAATTTGTATCAGACTTTTATCGCATCTAAGCGTCTTTACATAATTTTGAAAAGACAACGACGTAATGGACAATGACTGCTCCCATTGCAGAATATGTGTTACTTTGTACTAACTAGTAACTTGATAATACACATTTAATATGATTTAATTTCAAACAATATCTCATATCATAATCAAATAAACAGTCAGTTGCGAAATGCACAAAATTAAACCTTAGATCTTCACATTCTGAGTAGCTCCTTAAACAAATGATAAATGCTTTTCACAATCACATATCTTTAAAATTGTATTACTAAATATCTGTTACTGTCGGTCGGTTGGTGCATGCTAAACTGTCTCTATGATCTCAGGCCCTGAAATATATTGTTTTCCTTGTCTCACCAGCCTTTTCAGTTATGCAATAGCTCAAAATGAAACAATTCCATATTTTCCACATACTCAATTAATGGTATCGCCTATCTCACTGAATCCAAAAATGCATATTTACATGGGTCTAAGCATATGAGGCCAAATGCAGGAGAGTACATGTTTGTATGCACATTTTCAACACATCTCATCAATTATTTGCCAGTGGTCCAGAACACGCTATTGCTCATCAATTATTTGCCAGTGGTCCAGAACACGCTATTGCTAAGTTATCTTCAGCTTGATGACGTCATATCATTCAGATTTTTAGGACGTTTCAACATTGTTAATATATACCTAAATTGAGAAAATGCTTGAATGTTGCTGAGTTTTATGATCATGATACAAAGATATCATGGTATCATGGTATTTTATAAACGTTTAAAAGTATTATCATGAAGTAGTAGTAAAGCTTTTAAGTTCAGTTTTCATCACAACAATTATTGCATAATTTCTATATATTTTTAATTATGTTTCAGATATTGGATTTGACCTGACATTTAAACTCGCTGATGATGGGAGTTTGGCCCTTGTCAAATATGGTGAATTCCTGTTCGACAATCTCATTATCTTCTCTCCCTCTGTTGAAGGTAAGTCTCCACCTTATCACACATATCATTAACTTCATATGTTTCTAAGACTTGACTGAGACTCTGGACCCAAATATTTTTTTAACTGGAAAAGACCCAATGTCATGAGAATGTGTGTGTTCAGCTTGTATATCTGATTATTGCAAATCCTATCATGTATAAAACGGTCCCTGCCTGGCGCTCGGCATTAATGGGTACAACAAGGACTGGTCGGCTCGGAGTCAGTATAATGTGTCTGAGTGGGGTATTCATGCTTCACTGCGGCATGGTATCTCAGTGAGCTAGCATTATTAAACCAGCTTCAGTCTAGGCTAGTACAAGCAGCCGCACATACACACGCATGCATGTCGTCATATGAGTGAAATATTCTCAAGCATAACGTTAAACCCAATTTCACCTCACCTCACCTCATGTATAAAACTATCGTTCTGTCAGCGTTTGCTTTCGATTTTATGATGGGTGGTATTTGTGAAGACGTTTTGTGTTTTCTGTTGGTGTGATTGGCACTACAGCCTTTCTGTATTACTTAGAGTGTGGGACAGGGATTTTGACTAGTTTTGTTACAGACTGGATGGGTACAGGTGTACCTTGTATCGTATCAGGCACTAAAGTGTTACTGATCTTCTTTTCAGAGTTTGGGGGCAACCTCGATGTTGCTGCCATCACAAGTTTCATTGATGGGGGAGGAAATGTTCTCGTTGCTGCCAGCTCAGCCATTGGTAAGTTTACCATTTCCACGTACAAGTTGAACGGCATCTATTTCTTTTTATCATAGGACATGTATAGTAATATGTTTCTTAATATGTCCTATTTCTGTTGAAATGTAAACAAAAATTTTGTCATATAGACCCATTTCTTATTTCCATCAGTATAGAGCTGTGTGGATTAGGCCCTGATCATGTTTATTGTTTGTCATGGGGGGAGTGGCTAGACACAATGGCTGCATAATATACAGTTAAACACTATTGGGTTGAAGCCAAACGGTCCAACGTAAAAACTTTGAAGTATCCAATGTTCAACAAAACTGCAAAATGATGACTAGATAAGCTTTTACTAGGAGTCAACCATAACACAACAGTGTTTTGTCTGAAGGTGAACCACAAAAGGGATTCAGGTTAGAACAGGTGTCAAGACTCCATTTCTTATGGGCGGTGGGGTAGCCTAGTGGTAAAAGTGTTCACATGTCACTCCGAAGACCCAGGTTCGATTCCCCACATGGGTACAATGTGTGAAGCCCATATCTGGTGTCTTCTGCGGTGATATTGCTAAAATAAAAGCGGCATAAAACCATACTCACTCACTCCATTGCTAACTGAGAAATGCAGCTAAACAATACTGAACTGGTTGTGAGACTGTGATGTAAACTTGATGGCATGTTGCTCATAGTTTCATCCACCAGTGTGAAGCTCATTTCTGGAGTCCTGTGCTATGATATTGCTTGAATTTTGCTAAAAAACCTGGTGTAATACCAAACTTACTCACTCACTCTTGATTGTAGTTAATGATTTAAGTCCCAGGGGTGTGGTAACCGCCTCCGTGGTGTAGTGGTTAGAGCGTCCGCCCGGGGGGCGGAAGGTCGCGGGTTCGATCCCCGACCGCGTCATACCAAAAGACGTTAAAATATGGTACTTGTTGGTCCCTGCCTGGTGCTCGGCATTAATGGATACAACAAGAACTGGTCGGCTCAGAGTCAGTATAATGTGTCTGAGTGGGGTATTCATGCTTCACTGCGGCATGGTATCTCAGTAGGCTAGCACTATAAAACCAGCTTAAGTCTGGGCTAGTACAAGCAGATACACATACACACGCATGCACATCGTCTCATTCTTGCCAGGGGTGTTGGGATAGCTGAGTGGTTAAATCGTTAGCTCATCCCGCTGAAGACCCGGGTTTTATTCCTGACTCATTTCTGGTGTATCTCACCGTGATATTGTTGGAATATTGCCCAAAGTGATTTAAACTAAACTCACTTTCTCATTCTTGCCCCTTGTTTTACAGGTGACCCACTGCGAGAGCTTGCAACTGAATGTGGTGTGGAGTTCGATGATGAGAGGACAGCCGTCATTGACCATCTCAACTACGACGTGTCTGACCAAGGCAAGGTGAGGTGTTCAACTCACTGAATACATGCTACAATGATAAATCAGTGTACGTGGTTATCTGTGTTAGAACATGTTAGAATTGTCCTTCATCAGCTCAGGTAATGTCGTGAGTGAGATTGGGTGGTCAGAATCACTAGTGATTTGGTAGGATCATGCCATCATATATCATTTGCATAAATTGATGGTCATGATGTCCAAATCACTGGCTTGTCTCATCCAAACTTGATTATTTACAAACAGCGGATGCTCATATAAAGCTTGGTGGGACATTATGAGTAATGTCAAGTCACTGTGATTCCGAATTTTCAGTCATATCTTGGATTGGTCTGTCTGAATCAGGAGCTGATTTGCTTTATCCAGACTAAAATTTGTCCAGACTATAGTAAATCGCAGAATGCTGCATTGATCTCTTAACAAGAAACACAAGAACAACAAATGTTTAATGATGGCCCTGCACTTTCAGCACACACTGATTGTTGCCGACCCTGGTAATCTCATCGAGTCCCCCATGATCGTGGGTCCGAAGAATCCTTCCCCTTTCCTCTACCGTGGCGTTGGGTGAGTTCTAGATCAACATATTGGTAATAACATGATTCATGTTCTTGTCTGATTTATGTGTAATGAACTGTTTTAGTGGAACACAGGACTGAATGATTTTTATCCCACCTGCATGTAATGCGGTGGGATATAGTCGTCGCCTTCGTCCGTCCGTAATCATTTTGTTTCCGGAGCATAACTCAAAGACCGTTCGATATTTTTCAACAAAAATTGGTAGATATGTCAAACATAACCTAAAGTGGTGCCTTTTGCTATTTACAGATTATTGTCATTTTTATTTTTCTAGGTTTCCATGGAAACGTTTTGGACTTAGTCTTAAAGAGGGGTGGGCTTCGTTTCCGGAGCACATCTTAAAAACCGTTCAATATTTTTTAACAAGACTTGGTAGATATATCAAACAGAACCTTAAGTGGTGCCTTTTGCTACTTGCAGATTTTTGGCATTTTTATTTTTCCCGGTTTCCATGGAAACGATTCGGACTTAGTCCCAAAAGTGAGGGTTGGGCTTCGTTTCCGGAGCATAACTCAAGAACCGTTCAATATTTTTCAACAAAACTTGGTAGATATATCAAACAGAACCTTAAGTGGTGCCTTTTGCTATTTGCAGATTTTTGTCATTTTCTTTCCCCCCGGTTTCCATGGAAACGATTCGGACTTAGTCCCAAAAGGAGGGGTGGGTTTCGTTTCCGGAGCACAACTCGAAAACTTCTCAATATCTTTCAGCAATACTTGGCAGATATGTGAGGCAGATCCCAAAGTGGTGCCTTTTGCTATTTGCAGATTTTTGTCATTTATTTTTTTCATGATTTCCATGGAAACGATTTGCACTTAGTCTAAAATCAAGCTGGACTTTAAGTAACTGTCAGATGATTTGTTCTTTCAAAGATGTGGGGGCCGGGGATATGTCATCTTCTGATGACTCTTGTTTCTTAAAGAGTTTGAATGGCATTTAGAAATGATATACATGATCATGGAAATTTATGTTTTCTTCTGTAATATAAGGAACACAGCATTTCAGAAGATATTCTTGCTCCTTTGTTCACCTTACCCATGAAGGTCCGGGTTAGAATTGTTTTCAGTAACTCAGGCTTGTCGTAAGAGGCGACTAGGATAGGGTGGTCAGGCTCGCTGACTTTGTTGACCCATGTCTCATATCCCAATTACGTAGAACAATGCTCATGTTGTTGATCACTGGATTGTCTGGCCCTGGCTGGATTATTTACTGACCTGCGGCCATATGGCTGGAATATTGCTGAGTGTGTCATTAAACCATCCAAACCAACCTTCATTCACCTGATGAGGTACCTATGTTTTTGGAGTATATTCTCATTCCCCATCAGTTACTATTGAAATGGTTGTGATTGCAGGATGCTGGCCGACCCCGAGAACCCCTTAGTGCTGAGTGTTCTCCATGCATCCTCCACAGCCTACAGCCACAACCCTGGCACCAAGATATCCGAGGTACCACACGACACACAGCTGCCAGATGTCTTGAATTCATGTGATTGTTGTCTTTAGTTCGTACGATTAATGTGGCACATAATTTTCCAGGACTAAATCATCAAAGATACACGTTTAGAAAGGGTAATTGTTTGGCCTTACTCTGCAGCTATTTCATTTATTTACCTACAGGTATGAAGTGTATTTATGTTATGCAGCTGTCCAATCAGGACACTCCATTCTTAGCATTGAAAGTTCCTGAAGCCAAATATGAAACTAAGTGATAAATTATCAACAAAGCCATATTATTGTTGAAATAAATGTAAGTCGAACACACCTCACTCACTAATTCATCTATTGCAGTTCCCCCATGCTGTTGGCAAGAACACCCTCCTGGTAGCGGCCCTTCAGGCCAGGAACAATGCTCGGGTTGTGTTCGTGGGATCTCTCGACTTCTTCAGTGATGAGTTCTTCCAGTCCCCTGTACAGAAGGCTAATGGTGGCAACAAGTGAGTACATTCTGAATTACCTGAATTAAGTTTAAGTTAATTCCATTGCACAATCTTTATGTTTTACATTTTTAGACATATGCTTAAAAATACTCATTGGCCAATACTTCATGGGTTTGCATTGTCTGTTTTCAGTGTGACCTTACATTTTCACTCACTCACTCAAGTTCATGACAAACCTTTGTAAACAGTTATTTTTGGTGAAAACATGTTAATTAGGGCATTTGGCAGATACTCTTGTAGTTTATATGTTGTTGATTAAACATTTTGTCTGAAGAACTCACAAGAATTAAGGTTTTGGATGACTCTGGTGTATTCTCTCATGTAAAACTAACGTGAGAACATTGAAGGGCAAGGCAAAATGCTGTAAGTGTTGTTTTTCTGCAGGTTTGAGAAGTCAGGCAACCAGGAGCTGGCTCTCAACATGGCTCGTTGGGTGTTCAAGGAGAGGGGTGTTCTGAGAGTCGGCGCCGTCACCCACAAGAAGAAAGGGGAGAGTGTACCACCAGCGGCCTACACTGTCTTCGACAAAGTGGTGAGTGTCTGAGGGATGCAGCACATGTACTTTATTGAGAGTATGTAGTTGTGCTTATTTGTCAGTCCTCACAGTACCTGGGAGTGGTGGTCAAACCCAGTGGTTAAGGTGTTTACTTGTCATGCCGAAGGTCCTGGTTCGATTCCCCTCAGCACTTATATGTGTGAAGCCAATTTTTTCATGTAAGCCCGATAGGTTGCAAAGCTTTATTTTTAGATAGTATTGCAGGCTTGACCAACTTTCATTTTCAAAATCATATGTAAGCCCGGGCTTTTTGTCATAACGGTAGCTAAGCGGAATAAAACCCAACTCACTCACTCTCAATTTTTTATGTCTTTAAGGCTCATACGTCTTCAACGAATTTGAATTGTTTAGAATGCTATGAACATGCTATTGCCCTGTGCATGAAATATTTGGGGATTTCTTTGAAACAAATTAGTTATTATCTGAAGATCAGAATTGAATTTGAATTTCTTATCCGAATAAATATGTCTTGATTTAGCATTAACCACAGAAATATTTTTTTGTGATTCGCACAAAAGAACATTTATTCAGAGCTACAGATAAGTTTTTGGGTCATTGAGTTATGTACCCACTTGTCTTCATCTCAATTGGGTATCCTAATTTTCCTCTGAGTAACCAAACAAATTGTACTCACCTCACTCAAAATCAATTGGGTATTTTGCCTTTTTCCATTAATTGTTCAAATATAATAAAGTTTAAATGTTAATGTTTGTTATTTATATTTGATCTGTAATATGAGAAACGATATGAAAGACTGCTAGTTGAGTGTTCATGTGCCGAAATAGAACCTCTCAATATACCTCAGTTGCTTTATCTATCCACTGGTACGCAAGCTAAGATTTGACAGTTTTCTGTGTACGCATGTACAATCAAATTTATTGAGTATTTAAAAAAATACAAGTGTACTTGTACGCAACAGACGTAATAGGAATTGAGTTTTCACATAAATATTTGCGTAATTTACGCAGATACGCAGCTTATCTGTACCTCTGTTTATTGGGTCCTCGCCTGGTTCTGGTGCTACACATACCAAATAAAATGTAAATATAATATAATGAAACAGTCTAAACAGGTTCAGGTGGAAGGACAAGAAAATGATTGCTACAGTGACTGTTGACTCTCATGACAAAGAAGATGATCGTTTGACAAAAGTCATGGCTTAATTATCTTATACCTAGTTACACAGAACAATGTAATTTGATTTGTATTGTCGTTTCATTTTCCCAAATAGTATGAAAAGTACAGAAATTGGAAATGTATTTTGCCAGTGTTTCAGTATCTATTGTCTTTGGATGGTTGCGTTGTGTTATCAGAATTATCGTGATTCTTTCCAAGAAAATGTATTGTGGCTGAAACATCACTGACTGATGTGTTAATACGGTCACTAGAACTGTTTTTGAAGTTTTGCAGAAATTAAAAATGTTTGGGTCTACTTACAGAGGTACACGATCCAGATCGAGGAGTTGTCCGAGGGCAAGTGGCAGCCATTCCAGGGATCAGATGTGCAGCTGGAGTTTGTCAGGATTGACCCTTTCGTCCGCACTGGTCTGAAGAAGCAAAGTATGTACAGAGTGCACAATACCATTAGACAACTTGTGATAAAATTATTACTGAGGTGTCGTTCTATGAACTCATACACTTGACATTATGGCAGTTTTATGATGGAAAGTTTTAAAACATCCCAGAAATTTTTTAAAGTAAAGTACTGATGTATCAATTTTTGCATAAGGATTTAACAAATTTCACTGGATTGTCCTGTCCAGACTCGATTGTTTACAGACAGTGTCATAAAGCTGTCACACTGCTGAATACTGTCAAACAAACACATGCTCATGATCTGGTGAGAAATTTACAATCAACTGTGCTTTCAGGAGATATTTCTTATAGATGTGGAGAGGTTTTGTTGTTCCTATTTGTGAACTGATTCCTAACTGTAACATCATCATGTGTGTGATGGACGACTACCTCTTCTTCCAGATGGACTGTTCTATGTTGACTTTATTTTGCCCGACGTGTACGGAGTGTACCAGTTCCGTGTCGACTACAACCGCGTGGGATACACCCATCTCTTCAGCACAACACAGGTAAGCCTCCTCACATGTAGGGGATGGTGGGGTATTCTCGTGGTTAAAGCATTTCTCGTCACGCCGAAGACCACGGGTTCAATTCCCCACATGGGTACATGTGTGAAGAGCATTTCTGGTGTCCGGCGCCATGATGTTGCTGGAATATTGCTAAAAGCGGTGTCGCTCTGATTCTTGTAAGACTTGACTACAACAAATTTTGCTGTCTTAATGCCATGACTGTCCTCCATAGGTGGATCATTAATCTAGCTGTCCTTGAAGATTTTGGCTGCAATATGTTTCCAGCAAGCCATGCTTGTCGTGAGTGGCATGCTCGGTCAGACTTGCAGACAGGGTTTATGCATCTCATCACATCTGAGATCCATGCTCATGGTGTCAGTCAGTGGATTGTGTGGTCCAGACAATATGGTCCGTAGTCAATATGAGTGCACTGTGAAACAGTAAATACATTCCTCAAACTTTCAGGCACAGGTGTGTTCTGGACTTAATTATTTACTTTCAAATGTGATAAAACTGTAGATTTGCAGACTGACAGTCATGTTATTGGGATAATGATGCAATATCGGTTATACAGTTATATAACAAAAAGAGCAATTTATATCTACACATATGTACTAAAATATGAGGTATTTTTCCTTTTGATATGTTCAAGTATATGCAAAGTATGAGGTATTTTTCTCTCTGAGGTGTTTAGTTTGTATAAAACGTACAAAATAATTGCAATATATTTGATCACATCAAACATTCACATTTGTCTTTGTTTCAGGTGTCTGTCCGGCCGTTACAGCACACCCAGTTTGAGCGGTTCATCCCAGCAGCCTTTCCCTATTACACCAGTGCCTTCTCAATGATGTTTGGAGTCTTTATACTAAGTATAGTGTTCCTACATTTCAAGGAAGAACCTAAAGAGAAGAAAGAGTAGCAAGCATTCCAACTTTTTTGGCAGTCATCAAGAATCATTTACAGTTATTGAATGTATGTGTTTTTGTCTTGAATGATGGATGATTGTTGAGGGGCTTGAAATATACCAACATCTATGTTTCTTGACTCCTTGTGTATTATTTGTTTTAACGATAAATAAAAACTCATTTTACATTTTATTTAGTTGTTTGTTTTCAAATGGTGACACTGTAGTTCTGGACTGCCTCCGCGGTGTAGTGGTTAGAGCGTCTGCCTGGAGTGCAGAAGGTCACGGGGTCGATCCCTGACCGCATCATACCAAAAGACGTTAAAATATGGTACTTGTTGGTCCCTGCCTTAATGAGTACAACAAGGACTGGTCGGCTCGAAGTATAATGTGTCTGAGTGGGGTATTCATGCTTCACTGCGGGGTGGTATCTCAGTGGGATAGCACTATAAAACCGGTTTAAATCTGGGCTAGTACAAGCAGCCGCACATGCACATACACACGCATGCACGTCGTCATATGAGCGAAATATTCTCAAGCACGACGTTAAACCCAATTTCATCTCACCTCACCTCATCATGAAATCATAGATAAGTGGCATGGGTGTCCTCATTGTCTAAGGTGTCAAAACAAACTTTGCTCTGCAGGGCGGCATCCCTCGTGGATAAGTGACATGGGTGTCCTCAGTGTCTAAGGTGTCATAAATTGCTCTGCAGAGTGGCATCCCTAGTGGATAAGTGGCATGGGTGTCCCCACTGTCTAAGGTGTCATAAATTGCTCTGCAGAGCGGCATCCCTTGTGGATAAGTGGCATGGGTGTCTCCACTGTCTAAGGTGTCATAAATTGCTCTGCAGAGTGGCATCCCTTGTGGATAAGTGGCATGGGTGTCCCCACTGTCTAAGGTGTCATAAATTGCCCTGCAGAGTGGCATCCCTTGTGGATAAGTGGCATGGGTGTCCCCACTGTCTAAGGTGTCATAAATTGCCCTGCAGAGTGGCATCCCTTGTGGATAAGTGGCATGGGTGTCCCCACTGTCTAAGGTGTCATAAATTGCCCTGCAGAGTGGCATCCCTTGTGGATAAGTGGCATGGGTGTCCCCACTGTCTAAGGTGTCATAAATTGCCCTGCAGAGTGGCATCCCTTGTGGATAAGTGGCATGGGTGTCCTCATTGTCTAAGGTGTCATAAAGTGCTCTGCAGAGTGGCATCCCTTGTGGATAAGAAGCCCCCCCAAGCCATAAAGTATGAACGATCCCCACAGGGGGTGTGTAATACCCAATTACAGTTGATTCATAACTAAATGAATATCGGTGTATACAGTAGCAGCCATGTAGCCTTGAATTTTGAAAGTTTTGTTTGTGTTTTCTTATTATAATGAAATACAATCGCCAAGAAAGAGTGTTTACTTTCTTTTCCAGGCAAACTTTAATTGGTGAGGTGAAATTGGGTTTAACGTCGTGCTTGAGAATATTTCACTCATATGACGACGTGCATGCGTGTGTATGTGTGTGTGCAGCTGCTTGTACTAGCCTAGACTGAAGCTGGTTTTATAGTGCTAGCCAACTGAGATACCATGCCACAGTGAAGCATGAATACCCCACTCAGACACATTATACTGACTCCGAGCCGAGCAGTCCTTGTTGTACCCATTAATGCCGAGCGCCAGGCAGGGACCAACAAGTACCATATATTTTAACGTTTTTCGGTATGACGCGGTTGGAGATCGAACCCGCGACCTTCCGCTCTCTGGGCGGACGCTCTAACCACTACACCACGGAGGCGGTCTAGTATACTTGGGATGCAAGTGAGACATTTCAAAGCCGAGATCCGCATATTTAGCATGCTTTTCGTAAAACTTGCCAATCACGTTGCTATCAAAAGGGACAGAAAATTCAATAACATAAACAAATTCATTGGTTTTATCAAGAAGAAAGATATATCATTCGAAATTAAGAATTGAACAGATAACTAATTGTTTTTCTAATCTATTAATGCAGGTTATGTGAATATATTGATATTAACGATGATCCTGCCAATGTTTCCATATGGGTACATTTAATTTCAATTCAAAATATTGACCTTAATTCCTGCTACCATGATAAAATGTATTTTGCCATTTTATACCTACATCATTAGTTTGTACATGACATGCGGGGGGTGGGAGTGTCACTTATTTTGTACTGGAATGGGGTTCATTCACATTTTACATGCTCCTCAATACAAATTATCAGCATCAGCATCACACGCACACACACACAAACCATAAATTATATGAACGGTCCCTTATTATCGTACATGTAGATACAGAGCCTATATACAGGGCCGTGGTTAACATTTCTTAGGGGGCACTGTCCACGTTCGATGCCGATGATCTAGGGTGTCCGTGAATTTTAATAATTAGATGCTTTCAGATGCAATTTCCTGCTTTCTAAAGGTACAATGACTCCATTTGTGTAATGTCCGATGTTGTATAAAATATTACTTTTTCCTGCTACGTTCGACCACATCTTTTCATGTTTTTTAAAAAAAGTTTCTTTTTTCAAATTTGTACCATCTGTACATAATCTTCTGAACTTTATCATATGTTTAGACATATCTGTATATCAGCTGACAGTCCAGAAATTGCACGTGAAATTTACATCATATATATGATATATTCAATATTTTGGAGTCATTTGGGTTGAATGCAATCCTTTTTCTAATTAAATCTTTTGTTTGTTAATTATCATTGCACAATATGCCTTCAGTTTATAGGGTTCCGAGTAGTCTATGTCATTACCCTGAATTCCTTATTTTATTTATTAATGGTTGTTGTAATCACATGTAATTAGGTGTATCATTCTGGTACCGATCAGGGTATATGACACTCGAAAGAGTGTTATATCAATACTTTGATGTACAAAAAATAATCTGTAAACCTTTTTTTAGGGGGGCAGCTGCCCCCTTGCCCCTCTGGACTAGCTACGGCCCTGATGTACAGCCTTCACTTAAATTGATGTGTTACGTTCAGCAACAAACAAACATTATGTATAAATGAACATGAATAAAAAGAAGATGTAACCCAGAAAAAATCTCTATGTTCATCAAATATCATCTTCTAAAATGCCAATCAAGCATCTAATTATGTATAAAGTCACATGACTTTTAGATAAATTTATGAATCATGTTCGAAACGACCTCACAAGCGACAAGGACTTTGGCAAAGCGGGTTTTGCTTCATGAATATGCATGAAGAATTAAGTCCTTTGATTAAATTTAGATAAAACACGTTGTATTTTATTTTCATAACACAAGTGCATTGTTGCAAAAATACTAGACTCTAATTTGTCGAACATCAAAGCTTTTTCGAAGGCGGTCGTTACGCAACAGGCAGTGCAAACCAGTATTTACAAGCTGTGAACAGGTCAATTTCAAGTGCCCTCTTCTTCAAATAAGCTCTGAAAAGTTCACCAAACAATGTTTTGGGGACACCGGATGTATACCACGTGACTGGTCATGTGACAGGCACGTGATTGTAACCGCGGGAAATAACCTGGCGTGGTAAACATTAGTGTGATTGCTCAAACGAGATATTGGCCAAAATGTCAAGCTACGAGAAGTTACGACAGAAGAATTTGGAGGATAATCGGCGTATTTTGGCAGAATTAGGTCTTGTGAATCCGGTAAGTTGGCAGATGCACCAAATCAGTGTGTGTTGGTATTCTTTAAACAACACTTCTTTGAGTGACAACAAATATCGCTCACACGATGTTGTAAAGTCCTAATTTTTGCAGGATGCATGTATTCAAATAATAGCCGATTGGTGTAAATTATGTCGTAATTCTATTCACGATCGTTATTGTTTCGTCATCGTGCAAGAAGCAATGTACAACATGAATCATGAAAACATAAGCCGGGCCACTCTTTGATCCGAACGAAGATCCGTAAGGGGGGGGGGTGCAGTCACGTGATTGCTAATCTCTCTCCCCCTCCCCCATTTCCGGCCTGGGTGCAGTGTGTCTCCCAAACTACGCCGATTATCCTCTAAGTTCTTTTGAAAAGATTTGTCATATGAGGCGATAGACAATTTAAGCAACTAGTCTCTGAAATGAACATATTTTACAGAAAAAACCCAGTTCATAATAAAAAAGAAAAAATATATAATGAAAAGGAACCCTGAGACTTTCTTCATTTCCAGAAACTGTGGACATCTTGACTTGCCACATATTCTAGAGATGCATGGACTTTCTTTGATATATTTGTTTCAGGGTCTGTATGACTGTCTTATCAGGTGATCTAACACTTTGTTTATTTGGCATGTTTTCATGCCATGTTTTTATATATTGGAAAACAGTTTGCCTTGCATAAAGTATTGCGACCAAACCATATATTAAATGGCATTTATTGTCTGTATATTGTTACTGAGCAAAATACAATTTGAGTACTCATTTAGTAAGTCAGTCAGTATAAAAATTGTCATGAGTTGATAAGAATATTATCCAAATCTACCCATAAAGCATTAATTCACAATTTGAATTTTTGTCACATGTTCTGACAGTTCAAATAAAAACAGTCCAGTGCCAACTGTTGTTTTCATAATGAAAAAGTGATGTTGTTTGTTGTCACCAAGCCTATTTGGCTCTGACATGTCAACTATTATGCCTATTTAGGTCCATCTAGAAAGAAAATCTGTCCCTGGTATATGGATTAGTCACCATTCTTTCCACTGCTTTATTCCAAATCACACAATTTGGGTTTATGTATAATATAATGTCCATTTATATGGCGCTCGGCTCCACTGGGGTGGTGCATACAAGAGTCAAGGAAAAGTAAAACTTGGTGGCAGTACAAAGTCACTTAAAAAGTACAACAGATGAGTCTTTAAGTGACGCTTGAAATGTTCCAACGACTGGGCGTCTGGGAGTCTGGCAGTGAGTTCCATTTAGTGGCAGCTGCAACACTAAAGGACTTGTAACCAAAGGACTTTTCTTCCATGGTGGCACCATGAGTCTGTTGTTTCTCAGTGTTTGAGGCCTCAGTTGGTTTTGACAATTTCAGTTATGGTGTTTGGTGGTGAATTGGTCCTGGGTATATTGTAGCAGCATTCAGTGAGGTTGTCTCAGTGTTAAAACACAGGTTTGATTACCTGAAAGGGTAAAATGTATGAAGCCTGCATGTCATCAGTTGTGGTCTCACTCTTTTCAAGTGAGTTTGTTAATAAATTGCCTTTGTTCACCCAGCAGTGAATGGGTACCTTGTGGGATAAGTAAATGATCAAGTGCGTGTACAGGACTTTTTTAATAGCTATTATGATTACCTGACTAACAGGATTATGTGGTCAGGGTTGCTGACTTGTCATGTCATTGTAACCCAATTGTGTATATCGATGCTGATGATGTTGATCACTGGATTGTCTGGTACAGTCTCGAATATTTACAGACTGCCACCATATAGCTGGAATACTGCTGAGCAACAAACCAACCACTATTATTAATTCCTTTGTTCCACCATGTTAGATTATTACTAGGTGCAGGGTAAAATCTTACCTTACTCACAACAGAATGGCGGTATGATAAACTGGCTAAATATGGTTATCGTCTCTATGAGGATGTAGTGCTGTTGAAAGGCGCTGAATGTGTTTTTATGGTCAAACTTAACTACAGCATGTAGAGTTTCCACAAGGACTATCATTCATGCGTATGTGTCCCTTTCAGTTCAAGCCACTTGGGCGTGTTGTCAAGAAAGGCATCAAGCGAAAAGCTCCCATTGATATCAAGCCAAGAAAGAAGATTGTGATTGAAGAGGACCTGTCGAACTGTGGCTCTATACGTGGACTGAGGAGAAAGTCAGCTCGGATCCAGGGCAAGGTTGATAAATGTTTCATTACCATAACATAGTTAAATGTTTTATATTTCAAACTGTCATTTGTGAAAGAACAGTTGGGAGAAGGGAAGTAACTCTGTACAGAGATTTTTAGTTGTAAAATAACATAGTTAAAAGTTTTATATTTCAAACTGTCATTTATGGTGTCTTCATGCTCATTTTACTATCAAACTCACAGCAAATCTCAACTGATTGTGGGCGGTGGGGTAGCATAGTCGTTAATGTGTTGGCTTGCCACGCCGAAGACCCTGCTTCAATTCCCCACATTGGTACAATGTGTGAAACCCATTTCTAGTGTCCCCCGCTGGAATATTGCTAAAAGCGGCGTAATACTAAAACTCGCTCAACTGATTGCCCTCTCCTTTTCAAACTGAGTGATGAGACATGAGAAACAACCAGCCTTTTGTGATGTTGCTCAGTTTGAAAGTTATCTTGGTCATCCCTTGCATGTAACATATGTTATATTTGCGATTACACTTTCTTAGTAAAGTACAGATTCTAGTACTTTTTGGGACGAGTCCCGAGGGTGTGGGTTCGAATCCCGGATGGGACTCAAGTACTAGAATCTGTACTTTACTAAGAAAGTGTAATCCCAAATATAACATATGTTACATTTGACCACTTTCTAAAATGGCATTGTGTAATCCCTTGCATAGACCGTCCTTTGTAATCACGTGCAGATGTAATGACATATTATATTCAAGATTCATTTACTGGAATTTTTCATTACCTATCTCTGTATGTAGGTTCACTCTTGTGTTTATGTTTAAGCCGGTGGGCTCAGAGGAAGAATGGAGAAGTGTAGAGGAAGAGGAAGATGATTACAAGCCCAAGAGAGTCTCACCGAACAGACCCAAATTTTATGGACCTGTGCCAGGTATGGTCCTACTCTCCTTATGTCTTCAATTTTCAGGTTGGTTCAGAGTTGTTTTTCCAGTGCACATTTCCAAAACAGCTGTTAATCTCTCTTACTCACACAGTGGCCAAATTGCAAGCTGATGCTCTGGTTTCTCAACAGAATTTCAATATTTTTCCTTAACCTGACTCATATGTTATTGCCTATCTCCACTTTCTTCCAAGGTACAGTGGAAACCTCTGTCCTATTGTTCTCTAATTAACAGTCTAAAAATAGAAAAGAAATTAAAAAAAGAAGCAATAACATATGATTCAGGATAAGTATAAAATATCAATTTTACTTAAAAAATTACATTTTTTCATAAAAACTACATTCTTCAACTCACATCTATAGATCCTGTTTTTTTAACCTGTTTCTCTCTGGTTCCTGTAGGTGTGGAAATTGGTACAGTCTGGAACTACAGGATTGACTGCAGTAGAGATGGCATCCACAGGTGTGTGGTGGTTGACTAAATCGTTCACTGGGATAGAATACCTGTACATGTGTGAGCGTCTTGAGGACAACTCCAGACTCGATGTTTTTCAAACCACTGTTATAGAGTTGGAAAAGTGTTGAGTACGGCGTTAACAAATACACAAATTTACATTGTGTTTGTAATTTCATTCAGCATTATGGCCATAATGGTAATATATTTTCAGTCAACATTATTTAGATTCTCGGTGCTTTTTCAGTTGTAATTATCATCATTGCCTTCATCATAATCATTAACTTGTGCCCCCAGACCAACTGTTGCTGGCATCCACCGAGGGGAAGAAGGGGCGTATTCTGTAGCACTGTCTGGGGGATATGACGACAATATTGACCTAGGTGAATGTTTCACCTACACAGGAGAAGGTAAACCCAAGTACATGAACTAACATACTTTATGTTTGGAAATTTGTCCCTTTAACCCATGCCGGTCACAAGAGACAATTAAGTGGTTTGGGCAGTCAGTCTGTGATAATCCCAAGTAATGGGAAGTAATTTTTAAGCTGGGTTCATGTGATAATCGTAAGTAATGGGAAGTAATTATTGAGCAGGTTTCCAGTGATAATCGTAAGTAATGGGAAGTAAATATTGAGCAGGTTTCCAGTGATAATCCTAAGAAATGGGAAGTAATTATTAAGCTGTTTTCCTGTGATAATCCTATGTCATGGGAATTAATTATTAAGATGAGTTCCTGTGATAATCTTAAGTAATGGGAATAAATGTTTCATTAAGGGAACACTTTAAATAAAATTAAAACCGAGGTCACTACCTTGTACAATTTATAAATTAAATTATTCCAGGTGGCCGAGATCTAAAAGGAACAGCGTCAAATCCAAAGGTTGGTATTTTGTAGTAAACAGGGTTTTCAACTTGCAGCTTTTATCCAAGTTGTTGATGGCACCTTATGAGGTAGTCTTTATTTTCATTACTATGGAGGGTAATTGTGACTCCAATAAAAAAAAATTCCAATAATGCTTGCTATCTGAATATTACCACCATAGCTGCAGATCTGCAGATTTACATCTTACTATCATGTCTGTTGATTTGTTCCGTCACAACGATATTGCAGTCTGATATTTTGTCACATTTTCTTTGATTCCAACTTAGGTCATGAGATTTAACTCCGTTATTTATCCACAGAACCTGCGAACAGCTCCCCAGTCAAAAGACCAGACCCTGACCAATGGTAACCTGGCGTTGTCCAGGAATTGTGAGAACGGAAATCCAGTCAGGGTTATAAGAGGCTATAAACTGGACAGTCCGTTTGCTCCTGAAGAAGGCTACAGATATGATGGTGGGTAGTGTCTGGGTTATGACTGAGTCAGTGTATTTGGATACTGCTTCTATCTGTCATCTTCGGGCTGTTACTGCGTTGAAATGAATGTACCGTTCACACTGTTTTCTTGACCCTAAGTTTGATTGGCCACCGCAACCTACGTATTTGCTCTTTTCCAGAGCAATTTTGACGCTTCACCATAAAATAAGGTTTACCCACTCCCCCCAAAATAAAATAATAAAAAAATCAGCACCCACCACTGACCTTTTCCACTTGCACCCATCCACCATCCGCCTCGGCCACCCACTCACCCAATGTTCTGTTGTCTCACCCATCCCCCTGTCATTGATGTCATTCACTCTCCTCCAGGAATCTACACTGTGGAGAAGTTCTGGAACACGACAGGCCTGTCTGGGTTCGGAGTGTGGAAATTTGCCCTTCGTCGCTGCAAGGATCAGGCTCCTCCACCATGGGAATTGATTCAGGTACGACTGTCACAGTTTTAGATACCACAAACCTGAGAAGATCCGGGTTAGAATTGGTCTTCAGTAACCCATGCTTGTTTCAAGAGGTGACTAACGGGATTGGGTGGTCTGGCTCACTGACTTGGTTGACACGTCATCATATCCCAATTGTGTATATCGATGCTCATGCTGTTGATCACTGGATTGTCTGGTCCAGATTCAATTATTTACAGACCGCCGTCATATAGCTGGAATATTGCTGAGTTCGGCGCTAAACAACACAACAACCACCCAGGAGATAGGATAAGTACACTGAAAGCTGTCTAAACAGGCACTAAAGAAATAATCCGGTTTAGACAGTGTGCTGGATTGTACAGATGACACGGTTATCTCCGACTAATAGTGAACAAGTTTTGTTACTCTCATTTACGTTGTTGCATCACAATAAAGCATGTCAACTCACCAGTTACATGTACAAGTATACCCATGCTGAACTAAGATTAAAATGTCTTTGTCGGCAACCATGTAGTTTCAATGCAAGATTAATTGGTGACAATACACATCCAGCCGACTCCTTGCCACGCGCCGGATTAGACGGCGCTGATTACAGTATAAGACCATATTCAGGTGGCTCGTTTCATGCCAAGATCTGGAATTGACAGCTGCCGAATTGCAGAACATTTAAATTATGATAAATGAACAAGCCACAGACAGGACTGAGATTTTATGCCGGTGTTGACAACTTGCCCGGATTGGACAACTGCCGGTTTTGACAGCTTCCACTGTATATATGTATACAATTTATAGTTAAACTTTCCAAATTACCAGAACTTTAGTATTTACACATCCAACAAGTTAGTCACTGGTGTTCAAATGTTTGATTGATGTAGTAATGGACTAAAGACAAGTACAACCTATTTTGCTTGTACTACATTTGTGTTCTGTTGTAAACAGTTCTAATTGTATGTTGGAAACTGTAAATTTCATCAGCTTGATTAAACTTGTTTGATGGATCCTAAAAAATTATTTCACAGAGTCTATTTGGGTATTCGAGTCACTATCTTCGAAAGGACACATTGAAGTTTATAGCCAAAAAATTCAGAAGTCTTATTTGAAAACTATTACAATATAGACAAAGGTGATTTCAGTGCTTGTTGACATATTGTGTTGCAGAAAGATGACTCTCCAAAGAAAACCAAAATGGTCAGTGAAGATGAAGAAAGTGCTAAGGGAGATAACTCGAGCAAAAACTCGCCAAACCATAAAATAGATGATGACACTGAACAGAATGAATCTTCTGAAACAGAAGCAACAGAAGAGAATGAAGTCACTGAATCTTCTGCATCCAAAGAAGAGGCAGTAAAATCAGCTCAAGAGGACACTGCTCAAGAAACAGAAAAATCTTTGCAAGAGAAAGAACAAGAAACAACAAAGATGGAATCTTCACCAAAAGAATCAACCAAAGAAAAGGAAGACACCTTAAAATCTCAGAATATCGAGACAAAAATATCCCAGGATGAAAATAACAACCTTGGAAATGCTGACAGGGACACTGTGAAGAAGCTTGTCCGAGAGATGAGTGATTCTGGCGTTGAATCTGATGCCAGTGGCATCGAGTCATCTCAGTCATCATCTGCAAGTGTGTAGTCAAGGTGTTTCTCCAACACCTTCTTGTTCAAAGTTCTGTTTGAATGCTTCAACATTTTCAAGGATTGGTTTTGTTGGTGCCAGTTTTGTGCTGCTTTTGTCAGAGTTCATGTAATGCCTTATCATTGGGCTTTCTGAGTGTGCTGTTTGCTGCTTTTTGCTGATCTTTAAAGGTTATATTTCATGAAAGAGGAAAATGAAATAACGGTTGGGATCTCTTTGATTAAGAAAATTGACAATAAAATGTTGCTTTTAGACTTTAGAATAATGGTATTTTTAAGACCCAATCAGGCCAGGATTTTTTTATATTTTTACCTACCAAAATAATAAGAAATCCCATGAAATACATTTTTGATTTGTGTACTTACCCAAACTATTTTTTCTTGTTAAAATTCATAAGCATGAAAAGAAGACTGGCCTTGTGAATGTCATCCAAGAATCTGTTTTCATGGTAAAAGTCCTGTTACTGAGCTGTGGCAGAAACTAAATGGGATCCTTTGCGTTTTGCTGAGTTCATAATAGCAAATTTTTTGGCTTTTTAGAAATTAGAACAGGTTTATTGAATGTGTTCTTTCGATCATTGTATCTGATGCCAACAGCTAGGAATAGTCATAATATTCAGTAGAGTTCAAATTTAGGGGTTATAAGATAACAGAAGTTTGCCTCTGTAATACTTGTATAAGGTCCCTGAATCCCTGTCCTTTATTATAAGCATGATGGAAGAGACTGTCATATGGCAAACATAGTTTCAGGCTTGAGAGGTTATTTTGTATTTAGCCTATACATACACTTATGAGTTCTGCAACCAAGGGCACGATGTAAGGAACATGATTGAACTTGTACCAGGGTGCGTGTTGACATTGGAACCAAGTTGCACCTCATCCTATAATTGTGTCTGGGATGAAATCTAGGACGGTCTGCCGCCAGTGGTCATTACTTGAGGATTGCTATGTAAAATGTAAAAGGAGTTTATGAATGTAATCTTAAAGTACCTATATAATCCCACAAAAGCATGGCAAATTATGAAAACACAGATTAGTGTGTGATGGATGTAGTGTATACTGTAAATCATGAAATTAATGCGAGCATTTTATTAATGTGAAAAATGCGTCTGTACTCTTCTCGCATTATTATAATGACGCATTTCATTCTGATCTTGTCTACTTTTGAGAACTTATTAAAAGACAGAAAACGTAAATCTGTTGACACTACACATTACACCAATACAGGTCACTTCCTCATTACAGGTATCTCAAGCCACATGTAATTATCACTGGCTACAATCACTGGTCATCGTTTAAAGTCACTCAAGCACATCAGCCAGGGCGGACTTTCTCCAGCCACGTGTTTGTTGTACCTTGGTAGATGACTTATGTCTTTCAAGTCGGATTACGTTTATACATGTTGTCGTAAGACAAGTAGTAGTAAGCAATCACGTGATCAAACATGGCAGCGTAATCAAAACATTATCAGCTCATTTCCATTCATTGTTTAACGAGCTCATTTCAAGTTATTTGGTAAATAACAAGTGTGAAAAGAAAAGGAACAACATCAAAGATTCAATGTGTCACATTTTATCATCAACACAGATTCCTGAGCTCGCATTAATTTCGTGACGCATTTTAGACTACACCCTTGCCCTCGCATTAAATTGTGACACATTAATTTCATGCCTTACAGTAACTACATACAATATAACTGAGAGGTATGTGTTCATAATGTGTGGACAATTAAGCGCCAGGCGGAAATTGGTACTTGGTACATGCAGTTGTGTTATGTAATCTACCCTATTTGACTTATTTATCCCCCACAATGCCTTTTGCAGGGTATATTAAATTGGACTCTGTGCGTCCATCCGTCCGTGCAAATTCTTCTTTTCCGGAGCAGAATTGTTTGATTCCGTGTCATCTATCGCAAGGAGGGCAACTACTAATGATTTTAATCATTGGTTTTACAGCTTAAATAGGGGTTAACCGAAAACATACAACATTCTTCATATCTGTGGCTTCATTCATGTTTTCATTCACTTTTTCATCCAGTGAAATATCTCACCAGTGCTCATCTAAACTAGTCTAATCATGTCATGAAAGTAATACATCAAGATCTTTGAAAAATGAATTCATTTTTGTGTATTTTTATATGAATGGATTTTATTGTGCCAATTACCTCTGACAGAATGAATGAAGTTTACTTCTTGCTTGGTTTCAAGGGCCAGTTGACACTTTTTGTTAGTGATAAATGAAATACTATTAATTGATGATTGGGTGTCCCTGGACCTGGGCAGCATGAGAGCTGCTCATACTGTCGACCACCATTTGCGTGGTACAAATTAAGTATCTGCATGTGTGTGTGTTGAGTATGACAACTGCAAACGCCAGCATTTATTGAGAATTCAATTTATCACCTGTAAGAGAATTTTCCTTTCCATACCATAAGCACTAATATCAATTAATAAAACATTGGTTGTGAGTTTGTGATAAGATTCCCTCATTTCCCTTGTTTAAAGTTCGGTAAACCTGTCAACAGCAAGTGTAAATTGACAAAACAACATCTTTTTAAGGATAAAACTAAATTATTGAACTTGTTTGAATCTGGTTTAGAAGGTAACAGGCTTGTGGTAGGAGATTATTATTGTTATTATGTTTTACAGATTAAAGATAATATGCAGCAGAGAGGGTTCGGGTTATTATTATTATTATTATTATTATTATTATTATTATTAGTGTCTAAGTAGATGTAAATTACGGACCATTGTCACAATCATAGAGATGAAATATTGTTGACTGCACCATTTAACCACAAGCCTTGTGATTTGAGCTTGTTCCTACATGACCCACGAAGATCCGGGTTAGAATACATCAATCAATTGTTCCTCTATAAATTAATTCTGTGTCCTGTGGGACTTTGAGATGTGCAAAATGTTGTATGTTTCAGCAAAGCAAGTTCAGGTTTTACATTACTAAATTACTGTCCACAGGTGTGATATGATTCAATGAAGTTTTTACTAGTTTTGAATACGTGCATAGATGCTCCATTTAATGAGCTATTGAAGAATCTTTATATATTGTCCAGATCAGTAAATGGTAGTTTGTGTTTTGTGTCCTGTTTAGTTTTATTGCTACACAAGCCACACACACATATATAAATACAAGGAGGGCATTTAGAGCTTTGAGTAGATCTTTACATGACTTTATGTGTAGATGTGTTTGTTTTATTATCAATTTAATTTTACAGTTTCTTCTGATTTGTAAATATAAGACTGTTGTTGGAATTATTAATGGACCGTTAAAAAGGGTATTGCCACAAAATATATTATGTTGTACAATGCAAAAATTAAAAAAAAATGACAAATGTTCAAAGCAACTTAAAAAGCATAACTCGCTATTGTGGGTGTGGAAAACTTAGAACCCAAACCATATATAGATATTCCAAAAGAAATAAAATAAAAATCTTGAAATATACTTGTATTTGCTTTGTGAATCTTATACAAATTATTAGATCTTTGTTGATCCCATCTGATTCCCATCTGATGCAGTGTTATCACACATCCTAAAATGGTGGCTTTCCTCTCATTATTAAGCCAACATATCATGCTATAACCTGGTGGGCTATCCTCATATTATGGCAACATACCGTGATATAACCTGGTTGGTCTTCTTCTCATATTAAGCCCACACACCATGATATAACTTGATGGGCTTTCCTCTCACATTTAGCCAACACACCATGATATAACTTGGTTGGCTTTCCTCTCACATTAAGCGAACACGCCATGATATAACTTGGTGGGCTTTCCTCTGTATTAAACCAACACGCCATGATATAACCTTGATGGCTTTCCTCTCACATTAAGCCAACACACCATGATATAACTTGGTGGGCTTTCCTCTCATATTAAGCAAACACCCCACGATATAACTTGTTGGGCTTTCCTCTCACATTAAGCCAACACACCATGATATAACTTGGTGGGCTTTCCTCTCATATTAAGCAAACACCCCACGATATAACTTGTTGGGCTTTCCTCTCACATTAGGCCAACACACCATGATATAACCTGGTTGGCTTTCCTCTCATATTGAGCCAACACCCCATGATATAACTTGTTGGGCTTTTCTCTCTTATTACGCCAACACACCATGATATAACCTGGTTGGGCTTTTCTCTCTTATTACGCCAACACACCATGATATAACCTGGTTGGGCTTTCCTCTCACATTAAGCAAACACCCCATGATATAACTTGTTGGGCTTTCCTCTCATATTGAGCCAACGCACCATGATATAACTTGGTGGGCTTTCCTCTCACATTAAGCAAACACCCCACGATATAACTTGTTGGGCTTTCCTCTCATATTGAGCCAACGCACCATGATATAACTTGGTGGGCTTTCCTCTCACATTAAGCCAACACACCATGATATAACCTGGTTGGCTTTCTCTCATATTGAGCCAACACACCACGATATAACTTGTTGGGCTTTTCTCTCACATTAGGCCAACACACCATGATATAACCTGGTTGGCTTTCCTCTCATATTGAGCCAACACCCCATGATATAACTTGGTGGGCTTTTCTCTCACATTAGGCCAACACACCATGATATAACCTGGTTGGCTTTCCTCTTATATTGAGCCGACACGGCTGAATACGATTTATCATCTAGCAACTTAAAACCCATATCACTCGCCGATAATGCATCTCTGGCATGGGTTGTTGCAGGTGTAATCAAGCAATGACTTGTCCCTTCCCTCGGGAATTCCAGGTTGTAAGTAATAACCCAATACTGTAAATCTGTTTTCTGAAGTGACAAAATGGATCTGGTGTTCAGATTCAACTTGGCACGTCGTATGGTCTGAGACAGTTCTCACAAATTCGTCACTTATGGTTTCAATGCAGGGTGAACTACCGGTTCAATTCAACTCGCGAAGATCGTGATTAGTATTGGTCCTGTGCAATCCATTTTTGTGGTAAGAGGCAACTAACAGGATCGGGTGGTCAGGCTAGCTGACACATGTCATCGTATCCGAGTACCGTATATAAATGCTCATGCTGTTGATCACTGCATTGTCTGGTTCATACTCGATTATTTACAGACTGATATCATATGGCTGGAATATTGCTGAGCGCGACGTTAAATACGAAACCAACAAGTCGTTCAGTTCAACCGGAAAACTTAAGGAACTTGAGGATGTTGAAGGGACGCTTTGAATATGTGTGAGGAAGTTTTGTGGTGTCTCCTGGATTTATGCTTCAAGCATTTAAAGTCACTGCAAGAGCATAAAACTGACTGACATGGGATGATAATGGAAGTGAAGGTTGCCGAGGTTTTTTTGCCATTTACATGCATTTGAAATCTAATGACAGAAGGACGAAGACTTTTAATAATTAAATAATTTTATCAAAACTTGTATCAAAGCGAGACATGGTGACTATTATGTAGTGGACGGTTCAGACGATGTTTGCAAGGTCGAGGTTGAACATCTCGCTCCTGTAGCAGAGGGCCCGCAGTAGCATATCGTTATACTTTGAGTGCACCTTGTCCAGCGTCGTGTGGGTCATATCGTTGCCAGCCTCGATCACTGGAATCACTTTAGCCTGAGGAAAGAGGAATATTAGGGATAAATATAGCCTTAGGAAAGAGGGGTATAAGAGATTACTGTAGCATGAGAAAAGAGGGGTATTAGAGATAAGTGTAGCCTGAGAAAAGAGGGGTATTAGAGATTACTGTAGCCTGAGAAAAGAGGGGTATTAGAGTTAAGAAAAGAGGGGTATTACAGATGAATGTAGCCTGAGAAAAGAGGGGTATTAGAGATAAGTGTAGCCTGAGAAAAGAGGGGTATTACAGATGAATGTAGCCTGAAACAAGAGGGGTATTAGAGATAAGTGTAGTCTGAGAAAAGAGGGGAGTTAGAGATAAGTGTAGCCTGAGAAAAGAGGGGTATTACAGATGAATGTAGCCTGGGGAAAGAGGGGTAGTAGAGAGGGTAGATGTGGGATCACGTTACCCTATCAACAGAAGGATATGTTAAGACAAATTACGCCTCTCAAGAAGGGTTAACAGAGACCGCTTTGAACAGCCTGTGGAGTGAGGATTATGGAATAATTCTGATTTGTAATAACAGGTGTATTGCGTGATATCATTGGCTTGCAAACAGCAAGGTGTTAGGGATAAGCTTAGTCCGTGAACAGCGGGTTATAAAGGGATATTTGTTTGTCTTTTAAGCCTGTTACAAGCGACGGGGTAGCCTAGTGGTTAAAGCGTTCGCTCGTCACTCCGAAGACCCGGGTTCGATTCCCACATGGGTACAATGTGTGAAGCCCATTTCTGGTGACCCCGCCGTGATATTGCTGGATTATTGCTAAAAGCGGCGTAAAACCAAACTCACTCATTCACTGTTACAAGAGACATATAGTCTGGGAGGGTGTATATGGATAATTTAAACCTCAATGCAGGTATGATGTGATCTCTGTACGAGGAAACGGGATAGCGTAAGTTTGTAACATGGCTACGGCCAAACTTCTGTTTGGAAACTTTCACATCGTCATACAAGGGAGGATGCGACATTCAGGGGCGTAGAAACAGCATGGTTATTTCGCAAGGAATTCGGGGTGGAATTTAGTGTTCGCATGGCCCGACGGTGATGCCTGGACGCGCATGCCTTTAAAGGGTCTGGTTTCGAGTCCCATCGCTGTCAGGGAAAGCGCTTTCTGTTATACCGTCACAGTGAACTGAACACTTACATAGAAGAGCCGTGAAGATCCGGGTTGGAATTGGTCTTCAGTAACCAATGCTTGTCATAAGAGGTGACTAACGTAGATCGATGCTGATGCTGTTGGTCACTGGATTGTATGGTCCAGACTGTATTATTTACAGTCAACCGCCATATAGCTGAAATATTGCTGAGTGCGGCGTTAAACAACAATCAATCAAACTTACATAGAAGGCTTTACGGGAGGTGGGATCAATTAGCTTCTTCTCAAGGTCCGACCCGGCTGGGACATCAGTGATGTAACAGTCCAGGCTGTGCATGATCATCAGCAGGTGCTACAACACACAGGTAAACATAATCAATAAACAAACCTAGGTGAATATACAGCATACAGGAAAGTAGTTTGCTGCTGCTTCCAGTATCCTGTTGTCTCTTTCGACCTGTGTAGAAAATCCACGCTTGATATAAGAGGCGACTAACGGGACTAGGTTGTCAGGTTCGCTGACTTGGTTCATTCATGTCATCCTATCCCAATTGTGTAGACCCATGTTTCTGATTGTCCACTCGATTGTCTGGTCAAGGCTCGATTATTTTCAGACGGTCGTCATAATATTAGGGCATTCTGAAACAAACTATTGCCTTTTGATAGGACAGGTTGAGATATTTCTCACATCTTTAAATGTATATTTGAAAGAGGGTTAAGTACCGTTTACTTCAATTTTAATGATTACTAGTAGATATTTCTCCTTTTGATTTCATAATTATCTCGTAATTCGTTCTTAAATGTATTTTCAAATAAGGTTTTCAATTTTATAAGGTGATTTGTATTACATTCTGAACATTTGAAATAAAATTTGGCTTGCAGTAATATTATGTCAAAAGTTTCACCAGAGGGAAAGTAGAAGAACTCCCAAACACGACTAGGTTGCAGTAAACACTTTCACATATTCACTTGCATGTGAACTACTTGATTTAATGCACCCGTGAAGATTCTGGTAAAACGTAAAACCAGTGTGCGAAATAACCACTGGCACGCTAGCTCGTGGCTAGTAAAAATCCAGTTGGGCAAGTAATTCTCCAGTCACTGGCCCGACTGGCTACTGAATGTACTGAATGGGGTCATTTTGTAAATATATCACAACCACCTACTTGTTAAGTTATAATACACTTTTAAATCATGCAAGATGATGACCGTGCTGAAACCCGTGTCTACATTCAAATTTCGGGCTAGAGAGTTATGTTGTGGGCTAATAACTTTCAGGCATAGCTAGCCCGAGTGGCTTGCAAAATTTGGAAACTATTTCGCACACTGCGTAAAACCCCATGCTTGTCACAAGAGGCGTGGTCAGGTTTGCCGATTTGGGTGACACATGTTATCATTTCCCAGTTGCGTAGAGCTATGCTCATGCTGTTGATCACTGGATTGTCTGGTTCAGACTCGATAATTTACAGCCCGCCGCAATATAGCTGGAATATTGCTGAGTGCGGCGGTAAACAACAACAATCACAACTGCAGTTATTAAATGTGCGGCGTTCAACAATAAACAAACAAACTTGATTAAATGCATGTTGATAGTTTACCAATACTTACGGTTTCGTCGTGAAACTGAAATCTGTACCCGCCGATTGTGTTCTCGTAGTCCCCCTGGAAGATGGGGAGGAACTGGGCCTGAAATTGATCAAATACAATAAACTACATTTGTGACGAACACTCTTATAACGAACTGACGGCTATAACGAACTGACGGCTATAACGAACTGACGGCTATAACGAACTTAAGGATATGACGAACTGTTTTTCTTCTCCCGGTTACTTGCTGTATGTTTTAGTCGAAATGCGCTTAACGATCTACGGTTATAACGAACTATGAGTAATGATTAGTTCGTTTTAACCGTAGTATATTGTACCTCAAATAATCCAGCCAGAGATCATCAAAGGAGGTATCTTCCATACCTTCCGACAAAATTATCCACGTAAGTCTCCAATACAAATGCAAGTTAAGGTTTCTTTATTTCAAATTAGAAATATCATCTGCGTTCGTCTCTCTACAATATATCAAGAGGCAATTTACGAAAACAATAGCTTTGTACTGGTTCATTTGTATGTCTCAATATTTATTCAGGAAAAGTGAAATGTGGTCGGGACTACTGAAAACTTAAGAAGAGTCGTTATGCACGCTGTGTTTTGGGACTGTAGCTGGTTGGTCGTTGTTTTACGCCGCACTCAGCAATATTCCAGCAAAATGGCAGCGGACTGTATATAACCGAGTCTGGATCAGACAATCCTGTCACCAACAGCATGAACATCGGTCTGCACAACTGGGATAAGATGACACGTGTCAACCATGTCAGAGAGCCTGGCAACCCGATCCCGTTAGTCGCCTCTTACGACAAGCATGGGTTGCCGAAGACGTTTTTGGGACTACAGGGCGTTTCCGCTTGCAATGCAAGAATCGATTACTGTTCAATAGACAGCGGTATGGTATGTAGGGTTCTACATGTCAATGGGCAACGTTGACCCGTTATTTCATAAATCCCAGCTGTTGCTATTTGTGACGTGACTGTTAATATAATGTCTTCATCCTTGCTGTTGTTATCGATTACACGAACATGCAGGAACGCGGAATCACGAAGTAGTTGTTTGTTCGCCACTGCTGACCCTTAAGAAAAAATCGACTTATCAGAGTTCGAGACAGCGGAGTCGTCTTAATATCACGAGTGTGTAAACATAGTGAGTAAAGACAATGGTTCCTCTCGTCGAAACACATGGCTGAGTTGAATTATCAGAAATTCGAGTATTGCTTCTGTTCGCGGTTCTTAAAACAAACACTCGTCTTGAAATGTGATATGAAACAGGTGGTCCTCATTTTTCAATAGTATAAGGGGTTAAACTAACTCTACAACCACCCTCTGATAGACTTTTGATATACTTATATGAAAATATTAATAATAAGGGCACAACGGAGGGGCACGCTCTAAGCGCTACAATCTGATTATTATTACTACGGATAACCCAAGCTGCCTGTGAGGCGTTAGAAGGTTAATAGTCACATGACTTATCCCACCAGGTACCCATTTACTGCTGGGTGAACAGAAGCAAGTTTGAACAAACCCACTTGCCTATGGTGAGACCACTTGTATCACATGTGATTCGTTCAAGTTTTGCATGTAATGTTCTTAAAATAAGAGAACGCGATTTCATTCACGATTACATTCTGACTGAACAGATAAGAAATCTACCCTCAACAGCTGTCTGTTCTGTTGAATAAAGATACACTTTTACGAACAAAAGGAATCATAGATAAGAAATTAAGATTTATAAAAAAAACCAAGCAAAACAAAACAAAGAAAGAAAGATCAACAGTACAAACAAAACATTTGCCTGTTGTAAACTATTCTTTCATATGGTGCATATATTATTACATGTACCTATGATACCCTGTCATTGGCATCCAACGTTCGAAATAACGTCGGTCCTTACAGTCCGTTTGTGTCAGAAACGGACCGATGAATTGCAAATTTATCATGGTACAAAATTGCCACAGAAATATAAATAGTACACATGTTTATCATTACTAATACCCAACAGCTTTCTTATATTTGAAAATTTTACGGACTCCACCGAAAAAGTTCTTTAAGAAACTATCATTAAAATTTTGACACAGTTCACTATTTGTTACGAGGGAGGAGTGCAGAGAAAGGGACAGCCAGGTGTGCGAGAAAGAATGGAGACGGCACAGCACAGGCTAATGAATCAATAATTTGGTGGGCACTTGTGCACGTGCTTCTCTAACACCTGGCTGTCCCTTTCTCTGCACTCCTCCCTCGTAACAAATAGTGAACTGTGTCAAAATTTTAATGATAGTTTCTTAAAGAACTTTTTTTGGTGGAGTCCGGAAAATTTTCAAATATAAGAAAGCTGTTGGGTATTAGTAAATGATAAGCATGTGTACTATTTATATTTCTGTGGCTATTTTGTACAATGATAAAATTTGCAATTCATCGGTCCGTTTCTGACTCAAACGGACTGTAGGCCCGAAGCTGACTGAAAACCTCTCGGACCCAAAGCTTATGTTTTCTGCAGGTCCTTATGGCCTTGCTTGCTGGGGATGACTTGTATTGTAACTAAAATATAGGGCCTGCACATTCGGAACAGGACCCACAACTTTTTATGGTTCTGGGTCCTTAGGGCCTGCAGCTTTTCAGGGTTAAGGACAAATACTGATGACATCACCATTTCTTCTGTATTGCTGTTGTAGTGACCATCAAACATGGGCGTATACTTTCTTTTGTGTGTCAGTATACATCACAACATCTACAACGAAGCACATGTGATACATGTGGTCTCGCCTAAGGCAAGTGAGATTGTTCAAAATTGCCTCCAGCAGAAAATGGGTACCCGGTGGGATAAGTCATGTGACTATTAACCTTCTAGTGCCTCATAGCTTGTTATAAGGATATAAACGACAGCGCAGAAGACCCGGGTTCGATTCCCCACATGGGTACAATGTGTGAAGCCCATTTCTGGTGTCCCCCGCCGTGATGTTGCTGGAATATTGCTAAAAGCGACGTAAAACCATACTCAGTCAGCCAGTCGGTGTTATAAGGATAGGATTACCATGCAGTCCTTCAGTAAAGCCTTGGAGCAAGGTTAGATTTGACCTAGGTTAGATTTTAGCACTGCTGTTACGGCAAGGAAAGCATGAATAGATTTTATATGAACACATATGGGAAATCGAACCCTGGTCTTCTGCAAGATGAGAGAACGCTCTTCCCTCAACGCTACTGCGTAACATATGGTATATGATTCAGAGTAAGACTTGTGTGTTAAGTAGTTTTTACCCAGCTCTTACTTTTGAAATCTCATGACATTAAACGAATTGAATTTGCACATATATAAACGCGATTAAAACACTAGTATAACATTATTGTTCTAACAATACAAAATATTATTGAAAATACACGATACGAACATACGATCTGTTTAAGCATGAAATTTCCCGTCATATTAAATTATAATGTACATGTATATATCGAATCATTGCAGTTTTACTTAGGGATCTTAACAACCAGTTATAAAGGTATATATGTTCCGATATCATTTTGTATGTATTCAAATAGTAAAGAGAAGGCTTACCCGTGAAGATCCGGGGTAGAATAGGTCTTCAACAACCCATGTGCTTGCCATAAAAGGCAACTATGCTTGTCGTAAGAGGCGACTAACGGGATCGGGTGGTCAGTTTCGCTGACTTGGTTGACACATGTCATCGGTTCCCAATTGCGCAGATCGATGATCATGCTGTTGATCACTGGATTGTCTGGTCCAGACTCGATTATTTACAAACCGCCGCCATATAGCTGGGATATTGCTGAGTGCGGCGTAAAACTAAACTCTCTCACTCACTCACTCGTTTACGAATGGTTAGGAACTTTTGTTTCAGGTTTGAATATTAATTGGGAATTTCAGTATGATTCAGAGTAAGACTTATGTATTAAGTAGTTATTACCCAGTTCTTAGTTTTGAAATCTCATGACATTAAACGAATTGAATTTTCACATAGATAAACGCGATTAATACAATAGTATCGTACTAAAAATACAAAATATTACTGAAAATACACGATACGAACATACGATCTGTTTAAACATGTAATTTCCCGTCATATTTATTTTTAATGTATCGTGGTATCATACAGACAATATAGAAAGTTCATGGCAATGCACGATACGAGCATACATTAAACATGACATTTCCCGTTTCATTTAGTGAGTGAGTGAGTTTAGTTTTACGCCGCATTCAACAATATTCCAGCTATATGGCGGCGGTCTCTAAATAATCGAGTCTAGACCAGACAATCCAGTGATCAACAGCATGAGCATCGATGTGCGCATTTGGGAACCGATGACATGTGTAAACCAAGTCAGCGAGCCTGACAACCCGATCCCGTTAGTCGCTTCTTTACGACAAGCATGGGTTACTGAAACCCAATTCTCTAACTCGGACCTTCACGGGTTTTCATTTAATTATATTAAGCATCTGGTATATGAAATACAGTATAGACTGAAGCAAATATATACGTTTATATTCAGCAGGTATTTTCAATCAAATACCAAATCCATTAATCATATCTGAGAATTGTTATATGCTTTTGACACTTTTAATAGACAAACTAACCTCTTTGGCGATTGAGGGAGTGAGTTTGGTAAGACGCTTTGGCGATTTTGTTTCAATATGGTTCGGCAGTAAGACTGATTTATACAATCTATGATATGATAAACATTAGAATAATTTTTAATACTATAAATGATACACTGGACAAGAAAGTTCAGTTACGAAAGTGGAAGCACAAAATGGTCACTCACCGAGACAGCCACAATAAGGAAGACGAACAGAAGCCCCGACATCTTGGAAATAAATATTTCTTCTTGACCGTCTACGGAAAATGCTGGTCACCTGTTACTGGGAAAGCGAAAGCTGTCACTGACTGTAATCTCTGTTCACAGGCTTTTTATCTTGGCGAGTTACGGCGCCGGAAGATTTTGTGTATGAACATAGCGACATCATGCTTCCGTGATTTAATCTCTGTAAGTCCGGGGGGTGAGCTGCGGTGTTTAATGACCCTGTGGTCAGTTTCCGGTCATCGTGGCTGTTTGCCTGTTTCCTTTAGCATTCAGAAGTACGTTCATATCCTTGTTGACACAGATATACTATCGTGTCCTCATTTTTCTTGTCGGTTGTATTTTTAACTGCGTTGTAAGACGTTATTTTTAGATATATTCCGTTTGTTTGTCGCCGATGGTCCGCATTTTTTATTCAGCCAGCTGATATTCCGTGAAAAAACGAAAGGGAAATATATATTTTGTGATGTGGTTTTGGAATAATTCCGCAAAGATAATAATTGCTTCCGTAACGTACGCTGATAGGTTAATACGACCTGAACAAACTGGAGTTTATTTCTTTGTGAATACGACGCGTGGAGATCCGGGTTAGAATTGATCTTCATTAACCCATGCTTGTCCTAAGAGGCGACACACGGGATCGGATGGTCAGGCTCGCTGACTGGGTTACCACATGTCATCGTATCTCAGTTGCATAGATCGATGCTCATGCTGTTGATCACTGGTCCAGACTCGATTATACACAGATCGCCGCCATATAGCTGGAATATTGCTGAGTGCGGCGTAAATCTAAACTCACTCACCCATTTTGAATATAAAAGCGCAAATGTGCCGTTAATTAGGAGATAAACGTACTGTGTTTGGAAATTAGAAGAATGTTAGACCGAATTGATAGTCTCTAAATTTAATTTGAAGCCGAACGCGTAGCGTCAGGTTTCAAATGATTAATACGTAAGATAAACGTACTGTGTTTGGAAATTAGAAGAATGTTAGACCGAATTGATAGTCTCTAAATTTAATTTGAAGCCGAACGCGTTGCGTCAGGTTTCAAATGATTAATACGTGAGATAAACGTACTGTGTTTGGAAATTAGAAGAATGTTAGACCGAATTGATAGTCTCTAAATTTAATTTGAAGCCGAACGCGTAGCGTCAGGTTTCAAATGATTAATTTAGAGACTATCAATTCGGTCTAACATTCATCTAATTTCCAAACACAGTACGTTTATCTCCATTCTACCATAACCGATTTAATATCGAACTTCCTCGTCCTGCGGAAGACACGGCGTAATCCGGCATGGGACGAGAAGCGAATTGAACTCGTCTGTGAAGGGAGTGGTAGGTGTCGTTCGTATTTTTGTTAACATTACAACATAAAAAATATTCTGTCCAAAGAAAACAAACTACTGTTTATTCAATGCAATAATGTAACACCTAAGAGCTTGGTTTTTATAATCATAACTCCACACGACCGAAACCAGCCTATTGTTTTGTGTGCCGTGTTACTGTACCCCCCCTGGCCACACTATAATGGAATCGTCTGACCTACTTATTTTCTTGGAAGTAGACAGTTACGCAACAGTTTGAAATGGCGGACGAGCCAGTGTTTACATTTTGCGAAAGGTTGAAATTCGAAGTGACAGTGGAAAATACTTGACTGACTGTCGAACCTGAACCCTGCTGAATCGAAAAATACATCCTTTTCTGATCGACCTATGACCTGTAACTCATCAAAGACTGTTGATTTTTATGACCGGCGAGTGTAGATCATGATTTCGCGTACCTGCCTCAACCCCGGCATGGAACAAAAGAGTGACAGTGCTGCTGCTTCGTGTACATGCGACTAACTTGGGATTCCTTGGAACATTGTTCTTATCATTTTGGACTGGATTGTGGCCAAGCTTTTCAAAGTGTACGAACATAGCAGTGACAGCTTTGCGGGGAAGGTGGCAGAGCGCGGAATTCTCGTGGTTCAATTTTTGACATTTTGAACGATGCATGATGGAGTATGAGTGGCCTAAATTTTGTGTTTCGCCTTACCGTTATCTTGCGAATTTCTCATTCTCAACGGAAACAAATATACCATTTACCAGGTAGGTAAATGTTTACGAACGTTTTGTCGCACAAATAGGGATAGATAGGGATGTATTTTGAATTTTTTTACAAGGTTTTCTGATTTATATGTTAGATATTGTTTGTTTATGTTTGGGGCTGTGTATTGTAATTGAGTTTGAATATTTTTATAATAAAGGGTAATAATTATGATAGTGAGGTTCCCTAATAATTGTGGAGGAGAAATCGTATAATTGTATTTTTCGAGTTTTAATAAATGTTTCATCAGCATTTCCATTACGTCGATCTGTTGTGTTGATATTAGTCATGTTTGTGGCCCAGCTGAAGTAGTGCGGCAGTGTTGTATACGTGCGCAGTGAAGCGCCGTGAAATCAGACGCATTTTCAATCCAAACTGATACCGTCTGATTTTATTGATTGACCAATCAAATTCGAGCATTTCACGTATCCATGGTAGAATACGGCTTGTACCGTTACTCAAGCCATCGCCGGTATTAACACATAACCAGATTGATGTATGCAGTAACACCCATTATTACCCACGTGGTCAACGTATGGGTAGTTGCATACTAATCTCGTACGTCACACGAGTGTCGTATCGAGTTGACCTGTGTCGTAACGACTTGACCTGAGATTCTAACGATTTGATTGGATAACCGATGACCTCTCAATGAGAGTTTCTGACGTAACTATTTTTTCATTCATAACAAACGCGTGAATTCATTCATTCTACAACTTAAATGCATTGTGGGAATGTAAACATTGCGAACGTTTGCCGTTTCGCTGTTTAATTGTGAGTCGAACTGAGACATTATATCCGTCGAAAAACATAAATGCAATGTTTCCACCAGTGATGTTAGTCGAATGAAGCAACTGCAAACCAAGAAACGGGGTGCTACGGAGTTGTTTACTGTAGGAGGCTGTACGATGCGATGACAACTGACATGCATCGTGACGTCGGTTACCCCGGCAGTGACGTCATTACAGTGTGACGTCATGCAAATATTGTACTACAGTACAAAACTCTTCCGCAACCTCTTTATGAAACCGGTTTCGGTTTGAAACTATAAAAATAACAAAAATACGCTATTTTGTCAATTTAATGCATGTAAGACGTGGGTAATAAATAAAATACCACACTCTGTCTCATTACATACGAATTATACGAAACTCGTGACCTTCCTATGGTATCTGACCTCGCTTTCGCTCGGTCAGATACCATAGGAAGGACACTCGTTTCGTATAATTCGTATGTAATGACACCGAGTGTAGTATTCTCTATTTATACCTCGCCCGTGGAAGATACCGCAGTGTAATATTTTTACAGCAATATTACACTAGTGTAATACCGCTAGACGTATGACGTCATAATGGTTTACAGTTATGACGTCACAATGCTAATACTTCTGTCACAATGATATTAGAACTTGCTTGACTCTGGAAAGCTGAAAGTCATCACACTACGTAGGCAGTTTCTGTCAATTTATGTTGGAGAGTAATAAACAGAATACTAAACTCGCTTCCGTGAAATACCATTTTTTATCAAACTCGTGAATGATTCGTCGCTCGTTTGATACCAAATCATTAACTCGTTTAATAAAAGTGGTATTACACGGAAGGTCGTTTAGTATCCTCTATTTATTATTTCTTTACATTCAATGTATATATACGAGTTACCTGAAGTAAATACAATCGAAAAAGCCTTTTTTCATAGCGACCGGAAATTTCTATTAAACGCAGTTTCTAACTTCACCAAAAGCATGTGTTTTATCAATCACTATTCTATAGTGATGTTACAATGTTGCGAAATGGTGAGCGTATCCTGCTCCTCTGCTCCCCGTCACAAACACGTGAACGTGTCCAGGCAGACCAGAACGCTCATACATACTCTGAAGGCTCTTCCATTTTTCACTCTCTTGTCAAAGCCCACCACACTCAATAGGGCGCGGGACCCGTGAAGATCCCGTTTAGAATAGGTCTTCTGCTGCCTATGCTTGTCGTAAGAGACCACTAACGGGATCGGGTGGTCGGGCTCTCTCATTTGATTGACACATGTAATCGTATTCCAGTTGCGTAGATTGATGCTCATGCTGTGGATCACGGGATTGTCTAGTCCAGACTCCATTATTTACAGACCGCCGCCAAACAGATGGAATATTGCCGTGAGCGGCGTAAAACAGCAAAGAAACAAACGCCCCTTCAGCGTTCCAGAATTTTTTTTCGTGGGTTCAAATCCAAGATTCCCCCTATTATGTGAGAAACTCACACACTAAGACTCTATTGAGACCAGCCGTCTATAAACATTCGGAGTATGGACTATGGCCTGTGTTACAAAAGGTAACTTGACACACAAGCATGACATAACGGTACCTGACGCCCAGTGTGTGCAATAATTTCCAAGTTTTGCCAGCCAGTCGGCCTAGCTATGCCTCACAGTTAATAGCCGACAAAATAATTCACTAGCACAAAATCTGAAAGTAGAAACTAAGCAAAAGATTACAAAAAAGGGTAAAATACCATCATTTATCAGGCCATAATCTTGCATGATTTAAAAGTGTATTATAACGTAACAAGTCGGAGAGAGGGATATATTTAAAAAACGACCCCATGAAAATTCACCAGCCATTCGGACCAGTGACTGGGGAGATTTACTGGCCCGACTGGATGTTTTTTTTTTTATGTATTTTTTAATTTAAAAATAAATTAATTCTATTTTTTTTTTTTTTAGTGGCTATTTCGCACACTGCTGACACCCCTTCTTCCCCTTGAATAATACTGAGTGAATCCCACACAACACATTTCACAGTTTGTGAAGACTGTCGCGTAACCAATGGCAACACCTAACGCTTTGACCAAGAAGAAGAAAGAAGCAGCTGTCGGACACGCGAATCCAGAAAGCTGCTCTACGAAGGTTATGAGCACGAACACCTTGGCAATGGCGACGAAGCAATCTGTGGAGTGGAGAGGAACCCAAAAATGTGTTCAAGTCCAAAATGCTAAAGGACCGTTCACAATTTATGGCTAGGGGGGTGATGCTGGAAGCATATAC